TGACACACGTGACTTCCTTCAAGGGCCTACACTCCTCGCCTGCAAACTCTTTCCCAAATAGGCCATTAACGGCATATGTTCTGCAGGCGCAAGGATGTGACATGATGTGCTGCGCCTGCAAAGAGGCAGTAGGCGAGCAACCGTTTGGGAGCAGACCCCACAGAGGCCTGTAACACGACTTCTACCATTTTCTTTCCGGTGAAGCTGATTCGTAGTCCTTGTCCAAGCAATAGTCATCCGTGATAGGCCCTCGTCGCGGCCCTGTCACCGCTCGATGAGGAGTGTACACCGCCAACGGACCCGGAGACGGAGAGGCTGCACGCTGCGAGGATATGAGAGCCGGTAGAAACGTCACCGCCAATGTGGTGGTCACGGGTGATGGCGCAACGAGAGAAGCCTGGAATTGATACTCAAGAAGCACCTAACGATGGTGAGGGTCCTGTGCAACGTCCGCCCTATTTCTTATCCTATCGCGCCGTTTGGTGTAAGAGGGGCCAGGTACAGCGGGGTAGGCTGTGAAGCGTCCATGTCACCCAAAGGGGGCTTAGCTACTTTCGATAGTATATCTGCCACGATGTTAGTGTGATGCCAGTGTGCTGCCGTTCCGGTCATGCGATCTTGACATACCTTCTTGAATTGGAAGTGGAGTTGCAAGATGCCCTGCATTGCGTTAGCCACGTAGCTAGTACAGTGAGTATGACTGGACGTACCTTGTCAAAGCTACTCTTGAACCCACGTTCTCTCTTAGCGCTGTAGTCCCATTCCTTGTCGATGATGCGGAAGGCAATATCCTCATAGGGCGGGCCGGCAATGAACCGGATAAGGCACGTGTCGTCCTCACCGGCCGGGGCGAAGGACTGGCCCTTTTTGCGGCCGTTCTCCCGTTCGATCTTGTAGGTGGGCGCCTTTGATTTGTCGATGAGGTCGGGGTAGAAGATGTTGAACTTGTAGCCCTGTACGACCTTTGGTGGGGGGTTGTCGTGATCGTAGTGCGTTTGGTTGTACTTGTTCCATTCATAGCCCATCTGGACACGGTTGAAGTAGCGGGGTTTCCTGGGCTTGTAGCTGCCAGCCCACTGGGGCCGAGCGGTCGTGACTTCCTCCTCCGCGGTGAAAATTTCCTCGCCTTCCTCCACGCCTCGCGCGACCTCCCTCTCGTATAGCGCCATGGTTGCCTTGGAGTAGTCTTCTTTCTCGACCGGCGCAAATCGTGAGGCGCTCGTTGTTACTGTCTGGCTCGTCGTGGGCTGACTGCTGGTGGTGGTTGGGTCGCTGGATTTGGCCTGTGACGGCACGTAGCCAATCTTCTTGATCTTTCCCCTTTCGGTGGCCAGACTCTCCAGGAACGCTTTCTCATCCGTCTGTGGTAGCGCCTTGTCTTCGGCGCGCAGCTTCAGTAGGGGTTGGGGATCGAAGGCTGCATCGTATTCGACAGTCGTTGGCTGCGCCTCGCTCGCCTCATCGGTGCCGTTGAGCATAGCGTATATCCTGTTCTGGACAGATGCAGCTGCGTCAGCCTGTTGCTTGCGCAGTGTCTGCAGTCGCTCCCGGACAATCTCCTGCGAGACGCGCCGCAGCTTCGCCTTGGCCTTCCACACGCGCAGACTCCGCAGCAGCTGTTCCCAGTAGTCGTAGTCGATTGGCTCGTCCGAATCGAGCTTCTTCTTGACCTGCACCTCTAGCGTCTCCAGCTGTTCGAACGTCTTTGGGGAGAGCAGCTGATCGATGTCGGCGGCCACGGAGCTGGTGCCGCGGGCTTCGGACTTGGAGGATTTAGATTTGCGGCGGATGTCTTTGCAGATAGCTTTGAGAGACTGAGGGGTTAGCGGCGCATTGTCTTTTAGGGGTAGTTACCTACATTCCAATAGTCGCGATTACTCCTGCTCGTCTCGAGCGTGAGATAATTCTCAATCTCCTTTTCCAGCTCTGCGAGATCTTCATTGTTGAGCCCCTCCAGCACACCTTCCGGATCGACTATGTCTAGCTCGTGATCTTCCACCTCCTCGTCCAGCATCGACTTCTCCGTGGGATCGATGAAGCGCAGCGTGACGGCCAGCCAGTCGATGGGTCTCGCGCGTCCGCCCTTGACGCGTAGTGCCGCCTTCTTCTTGGCCTGCTGCAGCACGAAGCGGTCCTCGTCTGCCACCCACGCCTCCTCTGCCGCGTTTGTCGACCGTTTCGCAGGGTTGTCGTGTGCTCGTGAGTCGGCTGACCGCTTCGCTGGGATGGACGATGACGGCGCATTGCGCTGGGGAAGGCGATTGTGCTCGTTGCGCCAGGGAGGTTCACGTGACGACATCTTTCACGGGCGAAATCTGTAGTATGGAGATATGTTGTTGAGGTTTGGTCTGGCCGGCGCAGATCGCGAAATCTTTGGCCGAGGCTGGTGACGTACGGCTGCCTTCCGCGCGCGCAGGGATCTACTCCCGATTAGGAACAGCCTTGGCGCGGTTGCCTTTCACCTGCGCCTCAGCTACGCTTCACGTGTCAGCTCAAACCCCACAAAGACCGCGTGTGTCACGCGTCTGCTCTTATCTGCAAACATGCACACCGTCACCTTATTCTCTCCAGGTTGACATGTCGTGCTGGCGCGTGCTGGAGCTCTCCGAGCAGCCCGACGGCAAGCAGATTCCCCAGCTACTCGTCAAACCCGCCTTCGACCTGGACTCGTACACAGTTCATCTTACCGATCTCAGCAACATCTGGAGCGAAGAACTAGACGTGGATGACATCGTCAAGCGGGCTGCATTGGAGCAATCGCCAATCGAAGTCAGCAAACACGACGCCGCGCAAGTTGCCATCCTTCTCGAAAATGTCAAGAAACCCCTGCTGAGTGCGGAGGGTTCCATGTGTCATGTCACTCGTAATGACACGGATGGTATCACTTTACACACCAACATAGGCCTTCCAGAGCCTCTTGGTCGCCTGGCATGGAAGTTTCACTTGAAGAAACGAACGTCTGCCGATCTCAAGGACGAGCTCATCCTGCCGCTACTCGTCTCTTCCCACATCCAGAATGAACGCATCAAAGGGCTCATCTCGACAATCGCCGCCAAAGACAAGGCAATCACTCGAATTGTGGACCAGTTCGATTCCCATGGCTTGGACTTGGCTGCCGCCTTCCCTAGCGCTGGTGGAATGAAGGCGGGGCGAAGGAAGGTCAAACGTGAACAAGCGGAAAAGCACGTTCCCGCTTTACGGCCTTTCCACGAGGAAGCATGGCGACATGATACCGAGCAATTGAAAGATGCAAACTTGACTACGCTAGGCTTGTTCCAGGAAGCACTGGCACAGAGCACTCCGATCATACCTTTGGAGTTGAAGTCGGGTAATGTTGAGACTACATGGTGGACTACTGTACCTACTCAGTTGAGCATCCCGAAAGCCCCAGTCAAGACCAAGGCCAAAACGCCTCCTGTGGCACCAAAGCCAGCAAAGTCGGCTATGGATTCTGGTGATGAGACAGAAGAAGAGTTTGAGACTCATGTGAACTTCAAGGTAAGGGTGTGACGCAGTACTGGAGTGCGCAATAACTAAGACTCCCAGACACGCGAACTCGGCAAAAGGCCAACACAGACTCCGGCGCCATTACCGTCGTCGCCTGACGGCAAGATCAATGAGACGGAAGACGACAGTACTGAGGATGAAGAGGATCTGGATGCGCCTCCCAAAAGTCAGAGCCAAACTCTAAATCGGACCCCGCAGAAGCCGGCCCATAAAAGGACGCCCACGCCTGAAGATCATTCTTCGCCAAAGGCTCCTACATCCCCGGTACAAAAGCCCAAGGCAAGCAGCTTCCGAATAGGCGGGAAGTCAAAAAGAGCGACCGAGTTTCCTCCGCCGTCGCCGAAGCCCGCAGATGTAGAGCCAGAACCAGAGATCCGACCAACTAGGGAGTCTGTGCCACCTTCCCAGCCCAGTCAAGCAACGACACCAAAAAAGACGCGCAAACCTTTCAGGATTGGTGGTAAGGGCAAGAAAGCCGAGGATGGTGCTTCACAACGCGATATGACAGCTTCACCAAGCACCCAGCGCTTCAGAGCAACGCAATCGCCGACTGCCGAGCCTCCATCGTCTCCACCAAGAATAAAGGAGATGACGCCCGTTGAAGAGGTGCATGAAGAAACACCCGAAGAGAAAGCAGAACGGAAGCGGGCTGAACTGAAGCGGAAGAATGAGGAGGCCGCAAAGAAGCAGGCTCAAGCAAAGAAGAAGAAGAGGTTCTGATTGGGCCACAGTAGTCTCGTGAATGGCGACTGTCAAGGAAATACTTCCAGTTTGGACATCTCTTCGCAGCGTCAATATCCCATGACCGGCAACCCGTATGCTTGTTACATCGTCATTGTTTTCACTGCCTGATCTTACATGGACAGAGGAAACCGTATCTTTGCACTTGATCTAATCCCGCGTGCGTGACATTACGGCGGCAAACAATAAGCTTAGTCTACTACAATGTGCTCGAGGTAGAGCGGGTTCCATGTTTCTAACTGAAGTCCACCTTCACCTACGATCGCGCGCTCCTTCCGCGTCCGTCACCTCCGTTTGTTTACCTCGCGCCTGCTAGTCACGCACCACGCCCAACACTGCGCTCTCTCCCACCTCACCTCCTCCTTCCCTCTACACATCTTTTGGATACTCGACGTCGACCCTTCCTGCTGGTTGCGGTTGACAACCGCTACCCGGCATCATGTGTTTATATCATTACTCTTACGTCGCGGTCTGTGACCACGCCGAGTTCACCAGAATATCCTACTGCAGCAACGCGACGACACTTGGTCTGCCTAGAACGTAAGAACTCCATTCTCAAGTACTATCTTCCCTCTGCTAATAATCTCAGCGTCAGTCATTTGCCAGACGACCCCAGTGCAGACGGCAACCCCGACACTCAGTCTGGCTCATCTACTCCTCGACCAGCATCATCCGCCAACAACAGTAGCTCATCGCATTCGCAGTCGCATTCGCATACTCAGCAGCAGTACCAGTCACAGCATAACAACAACATGTCCACTCTCACGCCGTCTGAGGCTGGCCGCGCGCCGACCTGGGACGCCATCGTCCAGGAGCGAGATGCACAGGCTCATAATCAGACTGCCTTCATCCCACGCTCTGCTCTCGTCGAAGGGTCCCGTACAAGGCGAGCAAATACTCTCAACAACGCTAGACCTGTATTGGATACACCAGGTTACAGCAACGTCAACATTGATATTCCACTGGATCCTCAGTCTTCATTGCATATGGAAGTCACTCACGATGGTATGGTTACTGAGCTAGTTGCTCGATTTGAGTCTTATGGCGCTTACTCTGACGTCTGCGAAGTATCCCCCGACGAGCCTACCGATTCGCCTTCTGGTATCGACAACGCCGGTGCATATCAGGAGCAGGTAGAGCACCAGTACGATACGTATACCATCGGTACTTCAGGACGCAGTCCCCGCAAATCCATACCCACCCAATGGCTTACGAAGAGTACTGCCCCCAACCTGGCTACAGCGCAGCGTGCAAAGGCGCGAACGTCCAAGGCGGCATGGGACAGTGACTCTCCGGATGAAGTCAAGACACTCCGTGGAACACGCAGTTCCGTCGATCTTGGTAGAGCTCATGGCAAGGACAGCGCAACTTTTCTTACAAAGGAAGCCCTAGCTACTGTCGATAGCACCATAGCATCACCCACGTCCCCGCTCAGCCCCAGCAGAATGCATGGCTCTCCAACGAAGCGGCCATGGAACAGTCCCACCGGATCACCTCTCCGCAGCAGCGCACGTCACCAGTCCAGTTTCTCCCTTCGCATGTCGCCGACCAAGTCAACACACCTCAACACCGACTCGATCTCTGCAGGACACTCGCGAGCATCTAGCAGCGTTGCGACATCCATCGGCAGGGCTTCGTTTCACACTGCACAGGGGTCGCCAGTAAGGAGTCCTGCAAGCACGGAGCATAGCTTCCAATCTGCTGCAGAGAACCCTGAAGACCTTGACGTCCCCAGTGTTGACTTGTATGCTGACAGCGATGATGAGCAGGTGCACGACAAGTCCGGTAGTCCACGATCTGACACCGCGAGAACGAACGCTGAAGGAAAGCGAAAGTCATTGACATCGAGGCTTTCGCTTGTCATTCCTACGCCTCGCCGTAACAATCGTGAAGATTCCATGGACTCCCGCCTTGCCAACGGTCCGCTGAGTCCAGATTCACCCACGCAGGTGTCGCGTATTCCCCGAGCCGGCGCCGCCAGCAAGACCACACTCCCTGTGCGGACAATCAAGCGCGTCGAATCTGTCAGGTCTCTACAGAAGAAGATCCAGGAGTTGCAGCTAGCTATGCAGATGGATGCAGCCCAGTTAGATGCTATCCAGATCCCCCTACCAGCGACGCCAGCGCCGGCCCCTCTGCGTCATGTCCGCACCGTCGACAGCACCGGTTCAACTCCGATCATCTCGCGAACTTCTGGATCACACAAACGTGATGGAATGGCTGATGTTGCTTTTGAAGATGACCGAAAACAGTCTACACGCGGCAAAAGTCCCGCAATTCCTGCGGATAACGCCAGCCCAGACCAGCCAGACGACGCACCGGACTGTGATGCTAGCTACGAGCACGCTCAAACGTTCAAGGTCGATCAAGAGGCAGCGCACAACGCCGTACAACCCAAGAACGTGCCATGGGGTGTTCCGACAAGTCTTGCTCATGGTACGACGCTCACACGTCCTATCAGCGTACCCACGATCGTCGTCATGATGGCTCACAATTTGGACATAGGGAACCTGAATCTCAACACCCAACAACACGAGGCTGTTTCCGACTCCACAAACCGAGTCGATGACGTTGGAAACGCGTCTTCATTCAGAGGGCGGAGTGAACGGTATGTACCCAGTGATCGTAATCAAGCAGACAGCGGGCGTTCATCGCAATCTAGTATGGGCTCGGACCTTCGCGCAACTGCTACGGAATTCGTACCTCAGCCTCCGACCACGACCAGTCCGATCGACGCTACCACGGAGAACACACCTCTCAGTCAATCTCTCGACATAGCTGACCTGCCGGATGCGACGGTGCTCGATAGAAACGGCGTACCTTTCCTTTGGTACATGTACGGCGTACAGTTTGCTTACGAACAGGGTTACCGCAATGGTCGTCCAAAGTCGCCCAAGAAGTACAAGCCGAACAAGAACCCTCGCAAGTCTATCTCTTCTCCAGCCGATGGTGCACCTTATGCCTCAAAGGCCGTCCCCATCAATACCCCCGGACCAGCAACTCCTCTTTCGGCCGCAGCGAAGCAGCGCATGACATCTGCAGAGCTAATGCCGCCTCCGCCGCTCCCTACTAGACCACGTCAGGAGGAGACTCATCAAGAAAACTACCATCCCAGTTCTAGTCGCATGATGTCACCCCCGCAGATGCTCGAGCCTGTTCCAAACCAGCCTTTCGCACACCAGTTCAGTTTGATCGAACAGACCGCCAACAGCAACCGCGCCAACAGCAACGCTCCCCGTCACTTCGGCGTTAACCCACAACCCTGGGTTGGTTTCCCATCTGGCCCTCGCAACGCGCACCCTCCCACGTACTACACAGTACCCCGCCATGGTCACCGCAACAACCGTGGCAATGGCCTGTACGGCGGTCGCGGCAACGCTGCCGGTGTCCCCATCGATGCTACCGCCCCGTTTCCCAACCCCACCGCACCACAGGGCCGCCCCGACCAACGCCAGACCTACGAGCCCGCAGCTGTCGCTTACTCAGACTATACTATTGGAAAGGAGTCTTGCGGTCTGGTCAACATCACTGTTGCGACAGAGCGTGCTGGTGGCGAGCCATGTAATGCATGTGCTCCCGACCATTGAGCGATTGGTGGTCTTTCGCAGGTAAATTGGATAAGAAGAGATTGATTGAGGAAGTGGATATGGGAGGATAACATGGCTTGGACAGAGAAGGCTATTGGTATCGTACTGGCTACGTCATTGAGATTGCACATGGCATACGAAGCATGTCTTACCAGGGGACGAACAGGATCGATGGATGGGATTGCTTGAGTAGTAGTTGATAACGAGGAATGAATAAAATGTACATGATCATGACTGTTCGATGAGGAAGCCAAGAGGAAGGGTGAGCCTTGCTGTTCATCTCGACATTCGCGTGTTGTCAATGAAGGTGTTATGGCCTTTCTTTCATCCGGATGCGGACACTAAAGACAACCTGAGAGGCGCCACACTGCGCGTTACCGGCCTCCCCATCGTGATTTTCGGAGATACAGCCCACCCATGCTGTATTACACTCACAATAAGCTACCTTTCTATTCCTTCGAGACACTCGACAGCGACATCACTCCATAATGCTTGTCTCTCTCATTTCCCTCTTCGTAATCTCCTCACGGCAACGACAAGCCTCCGCAATCCAGTTATCCGACCTATCTATATGCGCTGTAACCCTTCCTTCTTTCCCCAGCAACCGCCGACCGCGCCCTCACTCACTTACCCCCATCACAGGAAAAATGCGTCGTAGAAACCATCACCTTCCACGGGTCCAACAGCGAGTTCTGCGACCTCTATGCACCCATGAACCCCGCGTGTACCTGCTACCGTCGGAATCGGCCCGTTGCTGGCCTAGGCAAATGCGGCGATGAGGAAGTGGGTAGGGATGTGCTGGATGAGGGGTGTGAGGCTAAAGACTTTGAGGACGCGGAGGATTATGTGGAGGGGGTGTGTGGGAGTGGGAGTGTGAGGGGTCGTAATGGCGGTGGTGGTGGTTTTTCGAGTGAGGATATTTCCGTTTCGTCCACGGCATCAGCTGGGGAAACCACGATGTTGGAGACGACGAGTACGAGCGGACACGATGCTGGGTGGACGGCCGAGGAGACTATGACTACAACTACGTCGCTACAACCTACGCCTGCGTCTTCAGATTCGATGAACGCGGCGGTATCTTTGCGTACTGGGGGCGAGGCTTCTGAAGCCACTACCGAGGCAGGCAGTCAGAGTAGAGCGCGTAATTCTGCTCTTGCAAGCACCAGTGAAACAAACATCACGCCGACTTCTTCAGCATTGCCGACTCAAACACAAACATCCGCCCGGCGCCTGTCTCCCAGCGCCAAAATCGCTTTAGCAGCAGGCATACCCTGTGGCGCGCTGTTTTTGGTCATTTTCGGCGCAGGCGTACGCCTGGTTTCCAAACGGAGGAAAGTCACGAAAGTGAATGAGACCACGCGCATCCAAACACGGCCAAATAAGGACGGAGCGATGGGCCTCGAACGTGAGCTTGACGGGTTCGATACGTCAAGGCACGAAATGGAGACGGATGGCAATAGGGCTGAGCTACATGTTTCAGTTGAGAGACATGAGATGGGAACGAATGGCAACAGGATAGAGTTACAGGTCGCAGTTGGGAGGCATGAGATGGAGACACATGCTAATAGAGCTGAGTTGCATGGCGCAGTCGAGCGTTACGAGTTGGATGGACGAGAATTGTTGAAAGAGGGTTGATGGGCCGGTGGCGCGGTGAACCTACCTAGGCTCGCTGCGCAGTCCTCCGAAGAGCATACCTAGGTATCGGCTCACCGTCGCCTCCCGGCTTTGGCCAACCAATGCACTATCCGATGCATCCTCTTTCGACCCAAGTCCACGGGCAGCGCTGCCGTCGATTTTAGGCCGGAGTAAATGTCCGTTGCGTGACTGGCGGGCGGGCCGGTCCGCTGGTGATTAGAATTGGGTAGGTACGATTGGTGAGAAGAAAAGCAGTCACGCGACTCCAACCAAGGTAGACTCTGCGCTTTGACGCACAATATCAGAAGGACTGGAGCGTTTTACTTGGTTGCTGCCTGAGATGAGCTATTTGCGGCGATGACTATGCTGATGTGGGGGGGTTTGGTATTCCGCATTTATTCAACTCTGTGTCTTGCTCTTGAAGTGGGTCTGGCGGACGAATGGCAAGAGAGGTATCGTGATGGCTACGCGGGAATTCGCTCCGAAAGCACGTGTTGGAGACTCTTCAAGCAAAGAGTCACATAATTCTTAATTCTGAACCATAGTTGAGGGCGGTTCTTGAGCTTTTCGCAATGAACAGGAAAGTGCGAGGTAAGAGTATATAAGCAGGCACAACGCATGTTCTCTTGCTCTCATCGACATCATCGACCGCCACTGCTCACACTACTCACAAGACTCTGAGGACTTTGTAACACTCTACACCCCGTTAGTGACAACCGAAGCAACAGTAAGACGCCTAACTCTATTACAACACTGACACAACACCTTTCTGACCCACCGTGTAGCCTCCACACTCCGCCAACACCCCAACCATCCCAACTGGAACCCAGTCTTGTAGCGTCCACACACCGTCAACACCTCAGGCATCTTGACTAAAACCCAGTCTTGTAGCCTCCAGACCCCACCAACACCTCCACCATCCAGACTGAATCCCAGTCTTATCGTCTCCCCGGTTCAAGATGTCAAACTTCGGCGACAACACGTCAGTAATGTTCACTCCCAGCGCCAACATGGGAGTAATGGCCATCCCAACGCCGCCTATGGGGCCGCCGGTCTTCTCAGACGACTACACCGGCTTTTCGGTGGAGCAGCAGAACGAGTTCAGCGAGCGTCTGAATAATCAGGGGCTGCTCCTTGACAAGATCGAGGGCATTGAGGTACCGCGCCCATATGCCCTTCTATGGCGACCTGTCACGAGAGCAAGAGAATTGCAGCCAGGATACGATTCGAGGACCGATTTTGTATATCTCCTCTCGCGCTCCCCGCCTCCTTCGTGGCGCCTTATCTTCGAGGAGTTGGACCAGAAGTGGCAGCGTCAGGAACAAGCCGCCTACTGGGCCAGCCAGCAGGCGCAGATGCATGAGCAGCAGCTGGCGGCGGGTTGGCAACAGGTGCCATACGCTCATCCACAGCAGGATGAGATGGGTGGCCCTGGTAGTCAGAGCGCGCAATACTGGGAGGCCAGGAACGCGGAGGAGAGACTTGCTGCTGCGCATCGAGCAGCGGAGCAACGGCGCCGGGATGCGACGTCGATGGAGAGGTTAGACAGCGGTGTCGACATGTTGGGCCGGAACAATGAGTCCGGGCTTGAAGAGACTTTTGCGTCCGACGCATGTATCGATCCAGCCTTGCTCGATATGGGAAACGGACGGTAGTGGACTGTGTTTGCTGAGTGATCTTGGAACACCACATCACACCGCGAGCCATCGGAGTTGAGTAGCGATCCGGTATCTGGCTTCGACTACCGCGACCCTAGAGACCGAAGAAAGTGGACAAAAAAGACGCGGTCGATAAGACTGGCTGAGCTGGAGAGATAGAACCACACGTACGGAAGGTTGCGCGAGAGTACTGTTTTATTACGATGGTTTCCTGCATTTCAGCTGCATACATACTTTTCATAGATTTATTCACCGTTGACATCCCATCCTTTGCTACCACCCGACGCGCAACATCGCACATCCTCATCGCAACACCACACGCGTCGAAACATGGAGATCGTGACGTGAAATTACTGACGTCGAATAGGCGCAGCGTGGTGGTCCGTTCTTAGTGCGATGACGATTTACGGGGGCACTGCCCGCTAGGTGGCAACCTGCAGCGTGATCACCGAGTGCAATTCCGCGCGATGCCGATGCGATCGGACGATGCCAATGTCCGGATGTGCGGGCGTGTATATCGTGTGTCGTCGTTGAAGATGCGATAGAGAGCGATGGAGATGCGTAACGTTGTGGGAGAGCGATGCTGGATATCGGAATGATAATGATTGTGTGCGACAATGCACGTCACAACGTCATGACAGGCTCGAGGTCTGGAAGCCGCTTCCACGCCAACACGTGATAGCGCGCTTGGCGTTGAGGCGGAGCGCTCGGACAGCGGAATTAGCGATGAAGCCTCTTGGAGCTGCTGCCAACCTCTCCAGACCCGCGTCCCCTTTGCCTCTAAACCTCCATCGTCCAGAACCCCAATGTCTCGCATTCAATGGTGTCCTCGCAAAATGAGGTGGGTATCGTCACCTACCCGGCTACTGTCAACATAGCGACACTTGTCGTCTTCTTCCTCTACCTCCTCGTCTCCATCTGGCTCATCATCCGCCAGGGCCTGGGCCACAGCTCGCCATGGATCTGGCTCACCCTGCTGTCCATATGTCGCCTCACGCAGGTGTCGCTCGATTTGGCAGCCACGACCAAGTTTCCGAAGTTTTCAGCGCCGAACACGACCCTGGAAAGCGGTGTTGCCATCCTCACCACCATGGGGCTCACGCCGTTGTTTATGGCCACCAGTAGCTTGCTCAACACGACCACGCGCCCCAAGGGCCGACGCATGCAATGGATCCTGCTCATGGTCCACATTCCGCTCATCATCTCCTTCATTCTTATCGTGGCGGGCGGCATCGATCCGGATTCTCGAGACGGACCCACTTTTGCAGCAACGGAAGCCACTAAAGCCGGTGTTTCGCTCTACTTGGCGTGTTTCCTCGTCCTCATTTGGTCTACCACGGTCATCTCAGCGCGTCTCTACCTTGCCGACAGGGACGAGGTGCGGATTCTGACGACTGTCGTTATGAGTCTGCCGTTCTTCGTCGTCGATGTCGTATACATGATGTGCTTCGCTTTTGAGCGGTGGCGTGCCAACGAAGGTACCGATGGCTGGAAGAGCATGCGCTTCAACGTCATCAGTGGTAACGTGACTCTGCAATTGTGCATGTGAGTATTACGATTTTTCGTTGTCTGTTCTTTTTGCTAATGTTTGTAGGCAAGTCATCATGGAATGGATCATTGTTGGGCTGTACCTTGCCCTGGGTCTTGAGTTGCCAAGCAAAGCTGTAAGACTGCGAAGGCAGATTGAAGACCAGATGGACCAAGCTAGGAACATTGACGTGGACGCATGGCAAGAGACTGTGTTGTGGAAGCTGCATGACAGTGTATCACGGCTCGTTGCTGCGATGATCATGCCAGCTCTACAGTTCGCGCACTGGATGTTGGGAAAGATATTGCGATCCGGACAGCAGAATACGCCTTGAGGTCATCAAAACTCATTGCTCATAAACATCGACAGCAGGATACAGCTATCCCAAGAGCGCAACTGCGGCAGGCTAGTGACGTCACGAATGACAGCTGCTGTCGGGAACCCTCCACGAAACGCATTCCCGGCCTTCATCCCCAAGACCACGACAGCACCTCGCTACAAACCCTGTTGCCTCAGCTATTGCGTCTGTCAATCAGGCCCATTGAGTTTGTACGCTCTGCCTTCGGTCGTGGCAAAATGCGTCGAGGTTCGGCTATCGCGGCTGGCGAACAGCACCCCTGTGCCCACAATTCGCGATGCGAAACATCAAAGTCCGCCACCACGCGAACACGCTCCTCCCTCCGTTCCGAGTCGCGTTAAATTCTTACGAAGGATCGACCCACTGCCATCAGAGAAGAGAGGAAGGCAGCGAATGTGAAGAAGCGCTACAGAAGACAGTAGCAAAAAGAAGGGGGCGGCGTGACGGCTGAGAAGTGTACAGAGGTTACAGCTCATCATCAATGCAATACATATAAACACCTTCCGACGACAGCTTGTTGTGCCTTTCGAAATCGTTGACAAACCCGTGCAGGCGACATCGCGAGAGATCACGTCTATGCAATGCGCCTGCAGTCTTAGCTAGATCTCGTGTCGCATGATGCCGCATTCGGACTATTGAATCTAACAGCTAGATAAATTGTACGATGATGTCTACTTTTACCTCTGATAGTGTTTTGCAGAACGCGACACGCATCGTAGCTATCTTAGGTATCGATGCACTGTCGCCTCTCCCACTGCTCCGGCCAGGCATGAATGGGCCTTAGCCGTTTCGCTCGCCTTCTTCGCGCTAACTGTTATATAGAGCCCTCTCAGTGACTATGCTTCCTGTCTCCTCCATCACACAAACAATTACTATTCCACCAAGAATAGCAAAGACATTCACGATGTTCGGTTTCCGGCAGCTGAAATCTACAATGCTCCGCTCCATGAAATTGCGCGAACGCCACTTTCGTAGAATAAAAGTCAAAAGATCTACTTAAAAATCATGTCTACTTCTAAACATGTCCATGGACACGGAGTTCAAATCAGTGCTCTTTCCTTACATGCGGCTGCGTGTGTCGCTCTTGGTTCTACTTCAAAAGACTTCATTGTCTGTCTTTCTTCTTCACCCTTCTACTACGCTACCTTTTCATTTCTACCAAAACAACATTTGGCAACCCCATGATCTGACGTCTTGTCCAGTCAGTCACTCAAAATGAAACGAGGACGCGGTTATGATTTGTGAAAGCGCGTGTGATGCACAACATACGAATTTGTTCGAACACTTCTACGGTCATAGAACAGACTTTACCGATGGCACTGCTATGTGGTTGCCGATATCTATTTTCGTTCACTTCATATAACGACCGTACACTTCCATGTCTGGGAACCCTGAGAAGATATGCAAAAATCTGAATCAGCTAGATCCATGTCCGTGATGTCGCGAAACTCCAAGATCATGACAAGAAGCATGACGCTTCTCTCAAGGAACCACAACGCACGCGATAAAAGCATAGTTGCTGCTCGATGATCACAATGTGGCATTGCTTGTTCCGGCGCTGTTGTACGATACAAAATCGGCTCCTGCCTCAATTTCTATTTCCTCACTTGTATTACACACACTTGTAGTTTTTCCAAAAGTCAGATGAGTCCCATGCATGTTGTGTCTGCTCTTGTCGGTTCACAAAAATATGGAAGTACAATTCAATGAGCTATGCTGCTTCCTTCCAGGAAAACAAGGCTCATGATGATATGTGTGACGAGACTTTGCTAGACTTTTCTCTGCTCGAACACGCCCCTGCTCAGAGTTCCAGAGCTGACGTGTTCGTTTCCAAGCGCCCTTCGACCCATAAACATTTTTTAACGATGAAGTTACCCATTTGCAACTAAAATAAACCCATGTTCATGTCTCTCGTGTGTCACCTTACGTAGGAACAATATTGGAGTAGAAAACCGGGCTTTGGCAAAAGTCATGAGGCGATGTCAACTTCTGGGTTGTCATGAATACGATGTAACCAATGTGCATCCATCTTGAACCGATGAGGCAGGTGCAAGCAGTCTTGGCAACGACGTCATTCCGATGGTCGGGATTTGGGTCAGGCTACCCGCGATAAGATCGGAACAAGACATCGGCACCTGCATTAGCAAGCATCGTGACTACATGCGAACATGGGCTTTCCGCGTCAGTTGCAGTTGCGATAACTACCCGCGGTGATGTATGACAAGCCATTGACTTGAAAGGATGTATAAATGGCAATTCCGATGAGCTGGTAACTGTCCGCAGGCCGCGCCTTCCCTACACAGACTGAACAGTATCCAGAATGGTGCACTTCACAAGCCTCGCATTTGCAGCGCTTTGCCACATCGTGGCTGCGCAAAACATGCCTTTCGATGCACGGGAAGCGACCATCGACTCGGTACATCATGCGCTCTACTCCGGACTCTCAACATGTCGCGAAGTGGTGTCTTCTTTTCTATCCAAGATCGAAGCCAACAACAACCGGACGAACGCGATCATTACGTTAAATCCCAATGCTTTGGCTATCGCCGATGAGCTCGATGAGCAACTTTTAGCCGGAATTGCTACTGGACCACTTTTCTGCGTTCCAATACTGCTCAAAGATAACTACGATACAGCAGACATGCCAACCACTGGTGGAAATCTGGCTTTAGCGCATTCGCAACCATCTGAAGACGCCCCAAGCGTGGCTGCTTTCAAGAAGGCAGGAGCCATCATCTTAGGCAAGGCCAACCTGCATGAGCTAGCTTTGGAAGGTATCAGCGTATCTTCTCTAGGTGGTCAGACGATCAACCCATACGACTCCACACGAACTCCAGGTGGAAGCTCGGGCGGAACGGGTGCTGCTGTCGCCTCGTCTTTCTGCGTATTTGGCACTGGAACAGATACTGTGAACTCACTCCGCAGCCCAGCGTCAGCGAACTCTTTATGTAGCATCCGGCCTACGCGCGGACTGGTCACCCGGACCGGCATCATCCCTATATCGACCACACACGATGTCATTGGTCCCATCGCGCGAACGATCAAAGACGTTGCCACAGCTCTGACTGTCATGGCTACAACAGGGTATGATGCAGCCGACAACGACACTGCACTCGTCCCAAGCCCTATCCGCGGCATCGACTACACTTCGAAGCTTTCTAGCACTTCACTCAAAGGTCTACGTATCGGCGTACTGAACGGCTTCTTCAACCGCACCGATTCCCCCGAAGTCACACCAGTCAACACTGCAATGGACTCCGTCATGTCGCGTCTCACTGCAGAAGGTGTGACACTGATTCCCATCAACGAGACCATCTACAATGCAACCGCCATACAAACTGCCTACGACGTTCAACGCTTCGAATACCGTCAGCTCATGGACCAGTACCTGGAACGTCCTTCCCTTCAAGGCGAGCATCCCAGCACACTAAACGAACTATATTCCCGCAAAGCCGTCAATGGATCTGGTGGGGAGTTCCTCGTCATCCCATCGCAGTACGAGTACGTCAACACCGCTCTCATATCCTCCACCGGCAACGCTACATACAACGATCGCCAAGCCGGAATCCGCAATCTCAGGCTCGCTCTTCTCAACACATTTACTTCAAACAATCTCGACGCTATCATCTACCCCGAGCAGAAGAACCTCGTTGTCAAGATTCGTTCGCCGTCACAATCTGGACGTAACGGTATCTTGGCCGCATTAACAGGTACGCCGGTTGTCACCGTCCCAGCGGGCTTCTCCGATCCGAGTGAAGAGGCGCCAATTGGCGTACCGATTGGCATGGAGATTTTGGGGAGGCCATGGGAAGAAGAGAAGCTGTTGGGAATTGGGTACGCGGTGGAGCAGTTGTTGAAGGTGAGGAGAAGTCCGGCTTGGGCGAGAGAAATGGTAGAGGGAAAGAAGTATGAGAGTGTACCGGCTGTGAAGCCGGATACGGGGAATATTCCGGGTGTGTATCCGTTGGGGACGCTAGGATAGAAGACGACAATGGCACTAGAGGTGCCGATTGTTATTATTGCGAGATGTATTCGGCACAAATCTAACACACGACGCTGATATTCAGCTTGAATCACGAAGATATCACAGCGTTGCATCATAGCAGCTGCTCTGTCCAACCCTTACAGCTTTCCTGAAGCAACCAAGACCTCGTAGCCTACCTTCTCGTCGGCTCTGCGTCGGTCGGGAAGGTCTCTCCAGCTCTATCGTCCAACGTATAGTCGCAACACCGGCTGCAAGCTCCCTTCTTTCTGCTCGCCATTGTAGAGACCGGGGACGGTGAAGACTGCTGAGGCGTTTCGAAAGCTATGAGGCACGTTGCGATAGAGATCGGGGCCCGAGCGGCGTTTAGTTCGATGTCGCAATGGAAAGGCACCGCAGCCGATGCGTACCGCATGTGACCCGAACTCTATGCTTAGGAGATGGCTTCGTTCAGACTGCCGCAATTGTCAGCGCCTCAGTTGGCAAGTGTGTCAGTATTTGCAAACTGTATGACGTATCAATGCTGCATCGTGGCTGTGCAGATAATAGCTGCGATTGTATAGCAGAAGATACTCCGTCGCTGCCGACGACCGCCGCACGTGAAAGCCCGAATGCCTTACTTCGGATGTCGACCGGTGTTGTGAGACGCGCCTCGGTTGGTCGGCAGCACGGAGGTTTGCCAAGATCCTGACTAATGCGCGGGCCTAGCCGCTGGTGGCCGTCCTCTGCGCCTCAGAACTACACCCCAACCTCACAACACCCCACCGCGGCCACCAGTTTCCACCCAGTTGCGCACCAACAGCCACAAACGGAACACTCAGGCCGGATCATGGTCGCGCCGGAGGCAGAAACTACCCCAGATGCAGTATCAGCATCCCTGAAACCGACGATGTGCCACTAGAAAACCTTGTTCCCAGAACGGAACGACGAAACTTTCAACTGACCGCTCTCGTGCTTCAAGATATGGAAACACCGGTTTGATTTGGTCTGTCCAAGACCCTGATCACCCTGATCACCATCTGCAGGTATGGTCTGCATTCGCCTAGCACCCTGCCGCACATCTTCATCGTGGCTATTGCAGTACGGCTGATCGACGGACTTGCGCAGTCACGACTCGACGTAGATCGTAGACTACAGTGACTGACACAATACCTCTTCTCAACTCGCATCAAAACAACGTCCCATAATATGTTTGAGTAGGCAATCGCCCGAACATCGTCAACTACCCCGAATAGCACGCATAAACGTCCACCGCCTCAGCCACTCTCAGTTTCATGGATTCAAGGGTTCATTTGTGTTCATTGCCAAGCTTTGAAACCTCAGACTTCCGAATGCTTAGCCCTAACTCGCCCTAGCCACATGTCCGTTTATCCACCGGTAAACTTTGGACGATTCATGCAGTAGTGTGCGCTGCTGCTGACTACGACAAGTTGGTAGACACAACCTCATCACCGAATCGTCACCAATTCATACGTCTCAGTCCCCAGTAATCATCGTCGACTTCACACCGGATTGGCTCGGTACACTTGCCAGACCACCTTCAACGTCGAAGATCCAACACCCAGAGTCATGTTTGCAGTATGTTTCTGGATTTGATGCTGCCGCAAACACGTTTCGTACGTTTTCGTCTAGCGACTCCGCACCTCATGCAACGTTTCTACGTGACCACGACGGGTTTGAAACTCCATCGTACCCAGGCTCTCACGTCTTGGCCAAACCGGAGCGCCTCACCACCTTGGAACTAACCAAAGTCGATGCTGGTCACGATGCCGAATACCCTTCTCGGTGTCTGCCTGTGCTGCCAGACGTTGTATAAAGACGGCCGGCCTCGCAACCTTAGAAGAGCATCAAGCAACAGGTTCCCAACCCAGCAACTACAGTAATCACCACTCCTCTTCTCTTCTATCTAATACCTCTCCACTTCACTACCTAATCTTTTCTCTGACCGGTTCAGACAATAATCAACAAAATCAACATGTTCTCCAAGATTGCCACCATCTCCATCAGCCTTTTGGCTTCCTCTTCCCTCGTGGCTGGCCACGCTGCCATCATCAAGGCTACTGGTGATGCAGGCGGTGCCGGTTCCGCCATCGGTGTCGACCCCAACACTCCTCGTGACGGTACCAACCGCAACCCTTTCCAACAGGATGCCACTCGCTTCCGTGGTGACGCCGCAGACACTTGCGGTGAGACACTTGGTGGAGGTGACAACGACATCGCGGCTGGTACTGCTCAGGTCATGCAGCTCAACGGCGCCACTCTTCCTCAGGTCTCTGCTGGTGGCTCAGTCATGATGACTGTTCACCAGGTCAACTCTGACGGTGCCGGTCCCTACACTTGCATGGTCGACGCTACTGGTACTGGTACCAACTGGCAAGCCGCCACTGTCACCACCAACCTTCCTGGTAACGACCGTGGCCGCAACCGGGACACTCAGATGCAGGATCTTCCCCTGACCGTCTCCATGCCCGCTGGCATGACCTGCACAGGAACTGTCGCTGGCCAGAGCAACGTCTGCATGGTCCGCTGCCAGAACCCCGCTCGTGCTGGACCTTTCGGTGGCTGTGTCCCCGTTCAGATGGCCGGAGCTGCTGCTGCTGCCCCTGCCGCCGGTGCCGCTCCCGCTGCCGGTGCCGCCCCTGCTGGTAAGTCTTTCATACTCAACTATCTCTCATTCAGTAACTAACTTGACATAGCTGCTTCTCCCGCCGCTGGGGCCGCTGGTGCCGCCACCTCTGGAACTGCCGCCGCTCCTGCTACCGGTGCCGCTGCTGGTGCCGCCGCCCCTGCCGCCGCCGCTCCCGCTGCTGCTTCCCCTGCTGCCAACGCTGGTGCTGCTACTGGAGCCACTGGCGCCACTGGTGCTACTACTGGAGCTACTGGCGCGACCGGAGCAACTGGCGCTACTGGTGCTACCGGAGCCACTGGTGCCACTGGTGCTCAGCCCGCTGCCAACGCTGGTGCCGCCGCTGGCGTTCAATCCGGCGCAGGTGTTCAATCTGGTGCTACCGGCGCAACTGGTGCAACTGGTGCTACTACTGGTGCTGGTGTCGCTACCGGTGCTACTGGCGCAACTGGTGCCACTGGCTCTACCACTGGCTCTACTACCGGCACTGCTCCTCTTACCGGTGGCGCCTCCCAGCGCAAGCGTGACGCTGCCCGCAACCAGCCCGCACTCACCAACGACGACCAGGAGGAGGAGCTCGACCTCCTTGAGGGCGAGGACTTCTAGACGCATCGCTCAGCATCTTATGACGATAATATCACGATCGGTTACAAAACAACATAAATACGAAGGAGAAGGATGGATGGATACTGTAATGGACTGGGTTGTATATACCTCGAATAGTTTGGAATAGTTAGTGTGGGGTGGAGCTAGTTGTCTGTCTCTCTGGCGGCGTCTGTGACGCGCAGATGACGGGCTTGTCAATACTGGGTATTGTATAGATAGAATTGGGTGGAAGTGGTGGATTGCGTGGTTTACTCGGGCTTGGGAACCCTGGTCTATTACGCTCCTTAATGATTAGTTTGGAATATACGACATACTTTTAAGTTTTCTCCGCATGCAATGATTGTCTAGTATGAAGTAACACTTGGCATGGTCGCCTTACGGGAATCAGGCATGAAGTCAGGCTAAGCTTTTTGGATCTGCGCTAGGTGGTTCTAAGATGGGTGGACGGCATGGATGAGGTTGCGATTATTGTTGTGGCGCATGGCGTTTCGATGTTGATTCATCCCAACCGGAACACACGCACCCGGTTGCTGAATCATCAGCTCGACAACCCGAGTGCATTCATCATGACAGACAATTGCGATACTGAACAACCTCGACGTTGAACCTTCTATCGACCCGTCGTCGCTTGTCGTCGCAGTATAAGAGAGCCCTCCCAAAGCGTACACAGACTTTGCTAAGAAATCTCAACAGGGTAGGCACGATGGGAACGGGAAGGTGCGCGACGAAGGTCAATACTTGGTGAAGTTTCATCATTCATTTATCCAGTCAAAAAATCTGATCTCGCTTCTTCCTATTCCAAACTACCGATACTCGAATCTACCAAAGACCTTTGGCGGCGATGGCGCTCAGCGAGCAGATGTGCCATTGAGCCAGCTACTAGAACCCCAACTCTTGAGCTTGACGCACAACCCGCCGGAATGTGTAAGGCGAGTGTTGCTGCACTCTCTTCCGAATTAATCCATCGGCTAGCCGCAGTGGCTGTGAAAATAATCAGCCGTACAGCGGGAAGACCAAGTCTTGAGCTCATGCTGTCCTGCCATGCACTGCAAGAAAGGTCGCCGGACACCCAGACATGTAAGGCGAGTATTGCTGCTTCCCCTTCGATGCGCAAGTCGAGCCGCTCAAATGCGCCAGCGATAGGGAGGCAAAAAAGCTGCCCCACACCGCCCACCTTCAGTCTCCACCACCAAAAAAATGGCAAAAAGAAGGCAAAAACATACAACAGCGGGGATTCGCTAGTGGTCACCCACCTAACTACTAATCCGCCGGTACACTGCTTGTATATGGCTGAGCGGACGGGAAGCCTAATTCTCAGTGTCCTATGGTCGTATGTGCAAGGTTGAGGAATTTGAACAAATATAAAGTAAATGTGTTGGCCAGGGTAGAGCCGGAACCATCGACACCCGAGGCGTATGAGGAAGCGTCTGGACAAGGAGAACCGGAGCATCGACGCTGTGTAAGACGATTGTTGCTGCCCAATCTTGTGCGCGCAACCCGACATGCCCAAATGTGTCCTGGAAGGAGCCAACCAGAACCATGTATGCGACCGCAAGCGGGAAGACAGGAGTGTGGTAAGGAAGAGGGTCGGACGGCGTGGGAATGAGGTGTGTAAGGCGAGTGCGCCGTTGCAAACCACAAGCGAGCGAAAATACCGCTGCCTGTCGTGGTGAGGTGTGTTGTGGGTAGCCGTCGGGCTTGCACACGATCTAGTTGTCCAGCCGGGTCGTGTAAGTAGTCGAGTAGCCTTGTTGTTACGAGCTATTGAGCGTAAGCCCGTCGGTAGCTTAGTAGAAAGACACCAATAGCGTAGAATCATGGTAAGGAAGAGGGTCGGACAGTCGCAGAAGATGAGGTGAGTAAGGCGAGTATGTCGTAGGGCAGTGCCAGGGAGGGGAGGCAATAAGGTGCGTAAGGTGAGTGCAGCGTCGCAACCCGCCAGTGAGAGAAGGCGATGTTGTTTGTCGTGGCGAGGTGTGTAAGGGACCGCGGGACACCAAAAGCGTCATGTCGTGGTGAGGTGTGTTAGGAAAGACAAGCTGCAGGAGACAGTAATGCTTCATGTCGTGGTGAGATGTATTGCCGCGCTGATGGTACTCACCACCCTCAGCATAGCTCGCGTCGTTCCGCGGAGCCTGACCGAGTCTCTTCCTCGCAGGTGCGTCGCCGGCACAGACATTGCATGTCGTGGTGAGAACGGTCGACGTGACGATGGGGTTCACCGTCAGGCCGACACTGCTGTCCATGGCTCACACCCAAAGCTCTTCGTTGCTGACACGTCGTCTGCAGACGCAAGGACCGAAGCGCGATGACAGGTATGTTGAGCCGCAACGGTATGGACAGATCTGCCAGTCCTCCAAAGACAGTAGGTATCGCGGAGTCCTTGGTCATGCTTTTGGTGATGTGTTGATACCGAAGACGCAGAGACAGCGGCGGACACGATTAGACTTTTGCAATGTTTCGGTGCCGGAGGACAGACATAGTAAGAGAGTCGTGATGTTTTCGAGTGGAAGCCAGCAGGCAGACATGGTAAGATACTCGAGGTATTTTGAATCCAAAGCTGAAGACATCGGTTCGCCCCAACGCCTTTTGGAGGGGCAGGCAACGCAGACATGTACATTTTGTTTGAGAATTTTGGAAAAAGGTGAGTGAAAATGAAGGATTGATGTTGAGAGAAGAAGGAAGGAGCAACCTCGAAGAATATACTCGCGCGCACGGACCATCTCACAGCATGGTACGGCAAAACTACCCAAGACTCATACATCTTCCGTCCAATAGGCTAGCGAAGCAGCATAACCATGTTTGAGAACTACATGGATTTTGGGAAACAGCAAATGAAATCTCAAAACCATGACTATCGAATTCGATGCTTTCGGAAGGAGCCACCGAAATTCCCATATCCATGCCTGCCGACTACAACCCTTTTGGACAGTGGGTGGAAGTTTGTGAACCATGTCATGTACTCAACAAGTAAGATCTTTGAGGTGACTTTGAAAGATCACGAGACTCATGTAGACATCGAAGTTCTTTATGGTATCATATCTCATTCCATTTTGTACATCAACGCCGACTCATGCTACATACGTCATCAACACCTCGCCATGCTCTCTAATCCCCAGCATCGCGTCGTAGATACATCTAACAAAGGAAAGAAATCCGCTCAAAACACAACCTTATCACAACTTCGGGGTGGGGCCCGAGCGTAGTTACTCGCGCATGTTAACAACGCAACGAATGCAGTCACCAGCCTTCATGTCGCCGAAAGCCTGGTTGATCTTGTCGAGCGGTTGGCGATGGGTGATGAATTCATCGACCTTGAGGTCTCCACGCTTGTAATCCGCGACGAGGCCGGGAAGTTGGCTGCGGCCCTTGACACCACCGAATGCGCAGCCCTTCCATACACGGCCAGTGACGAGCTGGAAGGGACGGGTGGAGATTTCTTGGCCGGCGGCTGCGACACCGATGATGATGGACTCACCCCAGCCCTTGTGGCAGGCTTCGAGGGCGGCGCGCATAACGTTGACGTTGCCCGTGCAGTCGAATGTGTAGTCGCAGCCACCGTCGGTCATCTCGATGAGCTTCTCCTGGATTGACTGGTTGCCGAGCTTGGTTGGGTTGACAAAGTGTGTGGCGCCGAACTTCTTGGCCCACTCCTCCTTTGCGTCGTTGACATCGACCACGATGATCTTGCCAGACTTGTTCTTGGCCGCTCCTTGGATGACGGATAGACCGACGCAGCCGGCGCCGAAGACGGCGACGTTGGATCCCTCTTCTACACCGTTCTTGCCGGCGGTGATGACGGCGGCACCGTATCCGGTTGTGATTCCGCAGCCGAGCAGGCAGGTGCGGTCCATGGGTGCGTCTTCCTCAATGGCGACGACGGAAATGTCGGCTACAACGGTGTATTGCGAGAAGGTGGATGTGCCCATGAAGTGGAGGAGGTCTTTGCCCTTGCAGCGGAAGCGCGAGGTTCCGTCGGGCATGACACCCTTTCCTTGTGTGGCGCGGATCTTGCCGCAGAGGTTGGTCTTGCCGGACTTGCAGAACTTGCACTCTTTGCATTCGGGGGTGCTGTTTGCGTTAGCTATAAACAGAGTACTAGAGGGCTAGACATACTAGAGGGCAACGACGTGGTCGCCGGGCTTTACGTTGGTGACGCCCTCACCGACGGACTCGACGTATCCGGCACCTTCGTGACCGAGGACGATGGGGAAGGCACCCTCGGGGTCCTTGCCGGAGAGTGTGTAGGCATCTGTATGGCAGACACCAGTGTAGTAGATCTGAATGCGGACTTCGTGTGCCCTGGGAGGAAGAACCTCAATCTCCTCGATGGAGAGGTCCTTGCCGGCTTCCCAAGCAACTGCAGCCTGTGGTCATGTCAGACTTGAATTCGTCGGCTGTTGTTTCCGAGATCGCGTTCGCCGGAACATCAGCGTCATCGCGCATCACGAATCGCGAATCTTCTGCGGATCCGCATGCCAAGTCTGGCGATAATTTCAGAAGCTCAGAAGGATGAAAGATAACGCGATGCGATGTCGCGAGAGGAGGTTGAAGCTCAAAGGTACGTACCTTGCAGGTAATAGTCTACAAAACAACGTCAGCATAATTCAACGCGTCGCGCAGCTCCCAATGCAGAAGCGGGGTCAAGCATACCTTTCCAACGGTATCAGCAGACATTGTAGCGTTAATGTCTCGGTTCAGTAGTACGTGGGTAGAGTTTCAACGTGTGTCGGGAGGAAGTAACAAAGTATCAGGTCTTATATATACGAATACCGTCACCGGGAGGGGAAATAACACACTACTCCAGAAAGCTCGAGCGGCTCCGGTAGCTTTTGTACGAGGCGTTGTGGGGCTGGTCGCAGTGATAGGTAATCGTCATAACTGCCCCTCCATTGCCCCTCATTCGCCCTCGATTCGTCGGACGCGCCTCGGTGCTGCTGCGCGTAACGCTCGCGACTTGAGGCTCAAACTCGTAGCTGGCTCGGATTTGGCGGCTCTAGGCCTAGATGCTGGATCTTGCGCTGTGATTGGTTGCGATGGTGCGTGGGCCGGGCATCTTAGCCACTTGTAGAGAAAGTGAGGTGTTATGTCATGGTCTCGGCATGTGAGCGCGGCGGATCTACTTGCCGGATCCGGACGGTGTATACGACAGGGTGATGTACATATATACGGCTTTTAGCAATGCGATTCATGGTGTTGAGATGGTATGTATCGATAGCATATCGTTTGGCGCACGTGTTACTGGAATTGAAGAGCTTTCATTTGCCGATATCGTAGGGATGAGCCGACAGAAAAGACCACGCGCAGTAGACAGATACCGATGAGTAACGCCAGCAGAACCATGCAGCCAAGTTAAACCCAACACCAAACACCTCATACACTCATGCTCATATCGTAGGACTGCCCACCATCTTCCGCGGCTCTTCCTCCTCTATTATCCTCTCCGGCGTCGACCCCTTGCTCGCATCCCTCGAGAAGTCCTTCCCGCCCTTACTCTTGCTTCGCAGCCTGCCCCAGCTCATGGCCCTCTTCCTCTCCTTGCCCTTGCTGTCCTCTTTGACATCATGACTCCACTTCCTTCTCACAGGCGGCCTCGCGTCATCCAGCCCGATCAGTCTTCTCAGCTCTGACAGCTCCGCATGTCCCCGTGTAGTCTTCATCCGGTGCGCCCACGTACACTCGCCGTTCTCGAACAGGAACTCTCCGCCGACCTGCTTGAAATCCCCGCCTTTGAGCGCTTTGCGACCAGTGCCGAGAGACTGGAAGATGGATTGGACGGAGTTTATGAGGACATGGGTCTGCATGTATTCAGGCTTGCTGCCTAGATTGAAGGTGCGTGTCATGCCGAGATGGTCGTAGAGTTTGCGCGTGGGGTCGGCGTAGATGGGGAAGGGGCAGCCGGTGGTCTCGGTGTACATGGGGATGAGTTCAGGGCGCCCGCAGCCGATGACGGTTATGAAGGTGGGCGTGGGCAGCGCGAGGAGGTCGTCGGGTTTGATGGAGGAGGCGATCGTGCGGAGATATTCCTGGCAGTTCTGCGATGTGTCAGCTCTGTCCGTATGGTGTGAGTGGACTACTTACGCCGCAGAAGAAGTGCCGTATGAAGATGATCAGCTGTCTCGAGGCGACATGTGGCGCCTTGTATAGCTCCTTGAAGGGCCTGCTCTGGCCTTGCGCATCCAAAACCAGCAGATCCTCCACCTTGCTCAGGTCCTTGCCGGTGGGAATGTCGTTGTTGACGTCGACGGTGCCCTCAAATTCTTCCTGTTCCTTTTGCAAGACAGGTGTTTGGCTCGAAGGCGAGAACGGGGGTGTCATATTGTCTGCGGCGTCGACCGACATCTTGGGGTCAGCCTGGTGGCCGGTTTGTGAGTGGGGTGGTGAGGGAAGTTGCGATGTTGACAGCGGTGGTGCGGAAGTCGCGATGGGCGCAGGCACCTCGGCAACCTTCTTGCTATCTGACTCTTCCATGGTGACGGTGGGAAGTCTGCGATAGGTGAGTCAGGAGTTCGGGCGCGTATGTTGTGATGTATCTCTGTCCGGTGTTACTCAGCTCACGGATGCCAGCTGGGCCGGAGCTAGAGGGCCGCTGAAATGGTGATCGCTCGGGGGGCGCAGCACTCTCGATACGAAAAGGCGTAAATGGAATCTACCGGTTAGCAAGTATAGAATGTCGGCAAGCACACGAGGTGTGGAAGGGTTGGATATTTGAACAAAGACCCGAAACACCGCCAGACTTGCGACGCGCTGTGAGACGCAGGTACACGCAGCGACGTCAGCGCCTGTTGAAACCTGCCTGTTAGCTCCCGCTGTCGTGTTAGTCGTGATGCCTGTGTGGAATAGCGGCGTCCGCTTCCAGTGCTAGGTCTTCTTTCTTTTTCGCATTGCGCATGGTTGCTTGCGCGATAAGTGAAGATGCGGTGGGCTTGACGCGTTGGCAGCCGTCAGTCGTGTTGGCGTGAGGCTTGCCGTGTCTCAGGGTACGCGCAGGGGCGGCTGCAGGTGCGCTAGCGATATTCTTGGAACACCATCACGACGGGTGGCTTCGCACTTCATCCTTCGCTTCCATTTTGTCTATCATCGCGGTCACTAAGAAGCACTTACTAATTTTTGATAGTATACAGTCCGTCATACGCTCGTTCCCGATTCGGAGCCCCATGTAGCCCCACCTCCCCTCAGCCCCGGAAAGCCACCTTCGACTTGATCCGATGAAGCACGTCAATATACCTGCTGTAGTTGGGGAAATCCACACCCTGACAGTCCCTCTTGACCTCCACAGCCTTGCCCGTAGTCAACTCCGCCATACCAAGGTCTCCCCTGAGCTCACAGACTAGCGCAATATCGAGGAATCTGGCCAAACGTTAGCAAACACGTCAAGAGCAAAACCCATTCTGACGACGACATAGCCTCCAGAACCCTTGGGGAATTTCGAAATTCCAGCCTGGGGTTAGTCAGTCGACTGCCACTTACACGTTTGCCAGTCTGGCGGTATAGTCCCCTTCAGCTTTGTGTAAAGCCGCCAACTGCAACAACTTCTTCACGAAGTCCTCTCGCTGTGCGCCTTTTTCAAGGTTTGCCCCACGGAAGAACCTTGTCTCACGTTCCAACTCTTGTAACCGGAATCGTCGCTCTGCACTCTGGTGACCGAACGTCGTCTCGTCCTCTTCATCGTCGCTGCAGGCCGGGCAATCGCAGGTGAAGCCGTAATGTTTGAGCTCGTATGCGCGAAGCGACTTGTCGTGGATCATGTCGCAGTAAGATAGCGTGATCTCTTCGCCCGCGGCGATGGGATTCATGACATGGATGGTTTCTTTGCCGATGGAGGCGTTCCAGGAGAAGCATGCGTTTGGGTTGCAAGAGTGGTTGAAGCGGGCAGCGTGTGGAAATACTGCGGCGCCCGCATTCATTTCCATACAATTTGTCTGAAAGATACTGATCAGACTGGGTGAAGGATCGGTTCGCGCTTTGTGTTGTTCTTTGATTCGAAGTACTTCTTGGGGTGAGACTGATTCATGGATGCGCGACGGCCATTTCTTCGGATCCTGGCCATGGCTTGAGTGAAGCGTATAGTAGAGTGTCTGCTGCGAGGGGGTGAGACTATCGAAGGCCTTCTGAACATCGGAGAGCATGTAGTCGCCAACTGAGACGATCAGGAGGGGATCCTCCGCGAGGATGCGTGTACCGCGCGGAATGGGTTTGAGGCTGACGCACCCGTAACCTTTTCCCGGGATGGCGCGTACTTCATAGTACTCGTTGCCTACTATAGCAGGTGTTAGCGTCGCGGACTTCATATGAATGCGCATGCCTGGTATAGCACGCGCGACTGTCTCGATGGGGCGCCGAAGTATTCCTACTTACCTGGCGATGTAGGGATCATACCAAGTTCCATGGCAATGGTGTGGTGGGTGATGCTGATTGAAGGTGCTGAGAGCTTGAGATAGGCAGGCACGACCCGCCTATGAGCGTTTGCTATCCGTGCGATGACGGAGCAAGCTTTCTGACTTACGCGACTTAGTCTTTGCTGTCGCCTTCGCTTGCGCATACGTCATGGTGAGAGGTGAGAGTGCCTAGGTACACTTACCCGTCTGTTTCGATAAACCGCAGCCGGTACATGACTATACCCCAACAACGCAATTAGTACGGAATATACAATATATCTAAGCTAGACGCGTCCGGCATCACACTTTCTCGTCCTGTCCCCGCTATCTTCTTACCTTAAGCGACGCCGCGCATATTACTACTCGAGACTCTTTAAAGGCACTCTACTAATAGTAGGGTCTAGAGTACTGCGCTGTATATTCTATTAACATCTGCAAATACAAATAGCACTAAGTACCTTCCGGAGTGGTCAAGACACGTTGGCGGTCGGATATAACTGGCATGTTCCATTCTGACTACACTGCACACTCAACAGCTGAACATCGCTCGTGACACATCCCATCCATCCATCTCTCCCGTTCCTCCCCATTTCCGCTCAATGGCTGTTCCCATCCGCTTTAGCGGTCTCACCCATAGATTCTCGGCGCCTCACTTCCTCGCATCCACCTCCGTAATCTCTATCGGCCCGCCATGGCCTGAGCATTTATCTTCAACCTAACGATTGTTACCAGGTCAGCTCCTGACTCGCACAGATGATTCTTCATAGCGGAAGAGCCCTTACATGAATGTTTTCCTTGCTTGACTTCGTCCAGTTTATACAAGCATGCCCCGGGCAGCGAGTCGGGCATGTGATGATTGTACGTGTGCCTTCGCACTTGTACTCGCAGCCGTTGAAGATGACTTTGTAGATTGAGCACATGATGGCTTTGGAGATGATAGATGGGGGCTTTGGCTTTGGTAATTGGGATGTCTTGGGCTATGCTGGATATGTATGGTTGATATAATGGATAATGGTGTTTCGCTGTAGGTATGATTTGTATACTAAAACAGCGAGGACACCTCGAGTCTTATATCCTTATGCCGCTGTCACAGGAAGATGTTTGTCAGACAGCTTCACGTATGCTTGATCGCTCCTTCACGACTACCAAAGGGTGAAGCATCAAACGTGAATATGTCGACAGATTGTGACTATCCCTGGAAATGGACGATGGGAACGCTCGAATCAACCAAGTGCCGACTGCAGCAACACTGTATCCCCAAGTTTCACACTTATCCCTGGAGGATACCTGGACGTGTGACCTAAAATAAACGTTCCAACGAGACTCATGTATTCAGTAAGACCTTACTACCAAATCGAGCTTCCACGTACTCTCTTCGATCGCATATCCGAATCTCAGGCCATCGGAACTGCATCACACCCAACATCACGGCAATCATCACAGCAAAGCACAAACAGAACATATCATGCGTCAATCATTCATTTCCTATCTCGAGACAAATCCACCATACAGATCGCCTATTCATGCCACAATCCTCCTCTCATAGTCGTCGCTTCTCTCCTGAATCACCTGCAGGGGTTATTGCACTTCAATGTGCTCCTTCTCGCCCTGAGATAATTGGGTTCCGAGCATGCGAATCCAAATTTCTTTCCTTCGCAGGCTTTAATGAACTCGTTCTTGGTATGGCCGCAGCCCATGTATAACACTGGCTCGTAGGTGCACATGGTGATGTTTTGTGGTTCGAGGAAGGGTTCTTTTGAGTACGGTGGTATGCGGAATTGGTAGTTGAACTGGAAGAACTTAATGAGAGTTTTGGTAGGCTGTTGAAACTGGTAGTGTGGTTTTGGTAGTAGTTGCTTAATGTAGTAGTTGGTTGCGGTAGTAGTAGTAGTGGTAGCTGTTGTGGAGAAGCAAAAGAGCGTGGATTCGAGAACCTTTATACCGCATTCGAGTACTTCACACTTGAAGATAGTGTGTTGGCGGTGTCTACGTATACGCCTGGGTTAGATTTGGTAATCTGTGCATGCAGTTCTTTCAATATGTCTGCTCCTTGACGTGGTTTTGGAAATAGACCCAATCGAATCTCCCTCATGGAGTGTGGAAGATCAATCGCATCGGCCTCGAGTTATAGCGGTATATTGACTGAAATGGGTGTATTCTTGCGAGTCCTTTGCGTAGCTCGAATGCTATCATGACCGCTGGCAATGCGCATGGCGGCTACGTAGGCCAAAATAGCTTCCGGTGATTTCAGCTTGCGCGTTGTAGCTGCCAGGCTGAGCTTTGAGGTAGGCGGACAGCTCAAAGGTCGAGCTCTCCAGCGCTAGATGATCACATGGTTCCCAAACGTCGGATTACCCAAAACCCAATCCCACCACCGTCAGGGATCCATTCCAACCCGAAGTGCGTGTCACAATGCAGCTCACCACAATGCCCTTCCGCCTCCCTCAGTAGCTCTATATTCTTGGTTTGCAAAACGCTTTCGCTGGCTCGCCTCTCATATTCACCATGCCTGTTGAGATCTCTTTGGAAGCATTCCGTCGGAAGATGTAAATGCCTCGTCAACGATGAGAAGACGTGGATGTCGTTGATCTTGAGGTGTGGGCAGACAGGCCTGTCCCAGGCAGCGAGTGCCTCCTGGACATCTTGCAGAGACAACAGAATGCCATAGGGGCGATACTAAAGATGAAAATGCGATACGGCTTTTGCGCGGTTCGAGCATATCTGCTGTGAAGGCTACGCAGTTGAGTCATGTGAAGGCCTTGTGCTCGCATATGGCCAAGATAGCTTTCTTCCACTTCAGCCTGCGCGTTGTAGCTGCCGGGATGAGCTTTGGTTCATTCTGAGAAGTCGTCGAACACTGGTTTTGGCGTGGTCGTAATGACTGTTTGCGCGACTTTGGCTGCTCTGCAGTGTAAGGAGGCGGGTCTTCGCTGTGTATTGTCGGTCCTGGAATGTTCTGTAACCAAGAGTGTATGTCGGGCGCTGTGGTACTGCTTGTCACAGTCTTGTTGCTGCTCTTGCGTGTCGCAGACTTTTTGATGTTTGGTGCATGTCGGCTTGAGTGATCTGGTTTGCTATCCTGACGGGAGCGATCCAGGGGATTCGCGATGGTGATCTGGATGTTCAGGCACATTGTGGAAGAAGTTGGTCATGAATACAAATTCTATGGGCTCGTAGAAGTCTTTGTAGGTTGTGAGTTTTCGGCAAACGTTAGCGTCTCGTCTCCCATGGTTCGTCTTCGACGAGACCCGTGTGCGATGAACGTTGCAAGCAACCGTCTCCCAATTTGGTAGCGCTTCTATCATGGCGGCTGTGAGTGGCCGGGATATCATGGGTCGGGGCGTGACCACTGTTCGAGTTTTATATTGAAAGCAATTCGCGCAAACGTGCTGTTATGATGAGGACCTAGATGTGCGACAGACTGAACACGAACAGATGGAAAGAAAACGCGTTGTGCGACTGGAGTTGTTGTGAGGAGATGAGAAGGTGCGACATCTGGACATCTGCGGAGACTAGTCTCTTCTGCATTGCGCTAGCCGTCATCTGGCCGATCATCTCCCAGCCACCGCACCCTTTTCCTTCCCATCAGACGAAACGTGTTCGGAACCACATGCTGCAGGTGTTTAACGTGTTCTACATTCGCACCCACACAAGGAAGAACCTGAATAAGGCTGCAGCCTACGTCAGGATGAATACATGTAAAGTAGGTGACCCAAATGCAATGTGGGCTGCACGCTCCTTCGCTCAGCTTAGTGCCTCTGCAACCAAGCCAAAACCTTCTCAGCGATCTCTAGATTGTTCTTCTCCATGAAGAACATATGTCCATTGCCATGAAGTCCCTCGTTCCTTAGCTTCACGTGCTCCACGTCCACACCTGCCTGTCGCATGTACTCTACAGTGCAATGATCGTACACCGCATGGTAGCTCGCCTCTGACGTCACCACCAGCACCGGTATTTGTGCCAGATTTACCAGCTGCTTCGCCGGCTCATCCTGCATGATACACTCACTCGAATTGACGTCTCTTGCAGGAACAACAACGGTCCGGATGTACGTCGCATTGGGTCCCGCCGACGGCTCGTAAGCGACTTCGAGCTCAGTGATGCCGAAAGGTCGCGCAGGACCTGATCCAAAGATTCTTCCGATGAATGGTGGGCCCGCGGGCTCGAGTGCAACAATAGCCTTGACTAGATGAGGGCGGAGGTCTCCGACTCGCCATCCATAGGCACCAGCCTGGCTATGCGCGATGATGTGCGACGGGCTGCCGATCTTGTCGAGAAGAGCTGTGTACGCTTTGGCGTTCTCGGCTTCGGATATCAGATTGTCGGCTTGGTATTGAACTTGAGACGCATAGAAGGCGTCAAATATCGGATCGCCTGCTTTTCCTGTTCCAGGCCATTGGGTGTGCGACTGTGCTTGCGGCCAGAGGCTATGCGATGACGTTGAAGTGAACAGTTGTTCGATGAGCGCAGTACTGGAGCTTTTTATCGTGCCTGTATTCGGCAACCAGGGAGAACGACCGCGCGATGGCTGATCGCTCAGGTATACAGTATAGCCGTGCGACAAGAAGAACGAAGCCCAGCCTGGTCGGCCATCTGGTGTATCGAGAAAGGTTGTTCCAGTCTGACCAGTTCCGTGGATGAAGACGAGGGGATAGTCTTGGGTTGGCTTTGCCGGGGTGAGCTTCTCGACATAGATCTGGTTGACCATGTATTGCGCGGTCGTGTTTCCTACCTATACGATCAGCATTTACTGGGAGTTTAGAAAGACAAGACTAGGTTGCCCTCTAAGAAGACTGCGCCCTGAAGTTATATACGGCATTTGGTCTTGCAGTAAGTTAGAGTAGAATGCAGTGCACTCCTTCAGGGCATGGTACATGTAGTTGGGAGAGAAGATTTCAGTCGTCAATTTCGCGTGACTTACTGACAGACTCTGATACTCCCCGCCAACGTAGAAGAACTCCCGTTGCGGTGGTAGAACTTGGTCAAACCAATTGATCCAGCTATTTGCGCCGAGTAACGGCGCCAACCAGGAAGTCACGTTGCCCACGAGCAGCATCGCGAGGTCGGTAACCGACTGAATGAGGTATTTTTAGTTACGCAAAAGCTGCAATTCTCGTGAAAGAGCTGGAGCGATGGATCGATGCTGAGGTTGACGTGGTGGTGGCTTGGCAGCTTACATGCGCCTTCCACAACAGTCGTAGGCCTACCGAATCTTTGGGTTCACTTCGCACCACTCAACATCATGCAAAACATCACTAGAACGTCCACTGACTTTACAACGTGCACAGAAACTGGTTTACTATCTACTCTCCAATTATGCCTACTATCTCGGGCTACAACGTTGACGGCGAGCGCGACCAGTAGGTGGTGGCGGCGGTGATGTAGGCGGCACGCGTGATTTTGATGTTGACCCCGAAGGGTGATGCGTCTCCGAAGTGCATCTCGCTGCACTATTCCGCGCGAGAGGTGTCATTCTTGAGGGTCTGGAATAGTCAGAGTCATATCCTATCGAACTATCTAATATATTACTTACATTGTAGGCGGCGAGGAGGTCCTCGTAGTCCTCACGGCTCACCCAGCCGTCATGGAAGGCGCGCGCCTCCTCCGCAATCTCCAAAATGCGCTTTTCGCGCACGTTTCGTTGCCGCTGGAAGTACATGTAGGCGCCCAGCCGAAGCGACAGCACCACAACGATCCCGAAGATCCAGACGCTGCCCATTTTGATGTTTGGGGACTACGTAGTACTAAAAACGAAAAAAAACGTCGAAGAAAAAAAGGCGAGGAGACTTCAAGAGATTTGAGAAGACGTTCGTTGCTACAGAAGAGATTCTGAAATGCCTACGATGCAGTTTTATGGACTCCACCGGTTTACTCTTTCCCAGATACTCGGCTCACGACTTCTTCGTCCCACGCACTACCCACAACGGATCTAAATGATCTGGAAGTCGCTGCGAATTCACAAGCACCGTCCCCTGATCATCAGTGACGCGCATGCCATTCTCGTCCCTCGCGCAAAGATCCACAATCTGCACATCCTTCCATCCCGCGAAATGCAGGTAATCGCCCACAAACTCGAGTCGCGAGCGCTCATCAAGCATCATCCATCTTCTCACGACCTTGTTTGGAAAGCATCGGTTGCTAATAACGAGATGAACGCTCCCACCCTCTTTCGTTGCCTCCAAAAGTTTCTTGCAAACTTCTAGCGGGTTGTTGAGGTAGTCAATGCTGACGACGCACGTCGTTGCGTCGAATTGCAAATCCTGGCCATTTTCCCATGCAGTTCGTACGTCGTGTGGTGGTTTGTTCAGGTCGAGCACTCGCCAGCGAGCGGGTCCCTGGAACACGCCGTTGACTGCCATTTCCTCCTCATTGAGTCCCACGCCATAAACTTCCAATTCTCCCTTCTGGATGGCTTCCTTGACCGATAATGGGTAGAACGACTTCCAACTCGTGCACATATCCATTATCCTGCCAGTCTTCGGTAATGCGGTATCGTAGTACTGTGTCAACCGCGCAATTGACGGGTCATCGATATGCGTAACGAGTCTCGGTTGTCGGTAGAAGACGCCATCGTCGTTTTCGTCGTATCGCACAAAGTCCGAGTCGATGTACGGCCAATTATCGTATGTTGGGGCATACGGTGTTGCGGGAAAGGTTGCGGAAGACATGTTTGCGACGGTGTACCCGGCGAAGAAATTGAAGGGGATGGAGCGGTTAAGTGACGAGTATGCGCGCCATGGGGTGGCGAAGTTTGGTTTGAGGCTGCGAAGATAGCGAGGGAGGGACATGGGTTGTTGATACCAGGGAGGGCGAAGCATTGGAAGTTTGCTGGGAAGGCGCGTTCGGTTGGTGCGGGCGAGATACGGATGATGACGTCATGACACGCGGACTCACGTGCCGACGCGAAGTGCAGTCCTACGACTTACCATTGCGACCTTGTCAAACGCTCTAGCATTCGTTAGGTCTTCATACATTAGCGGACACGACATGTGTCTAGTCGGTGGCTCTAGTACAAACGGCTCCCACGACATTATCAGCGCCTCGCTGCAGGTACGGGTCGGCTATTCCGAGCATCGGAACTGGTATCCCGAGCTTGCGGGGTATCTCCATCCACTACAATAAAACTATCTTGACGATCATGATCAATCTTCCAATGTTTGCGCCCTTGTGTCAATATGACAGCCATTCTCACTACTGCTAGACTAGTCTTCAACGACTCAGCTGCCAGGCAAAAGGCCATCGACGCGTTTCACAAGATCATCGAATTCACAACACCACACGAGCCGGAGGTCTTGCAGTATGTCTGCGCATTACCGGTGGATGACAGTTTGGGCACTGAGATATATATGATTGAGGAGTAAGTTGCCCATCAAGATAGAAGATCATGTCACTGACCGTACTAGATACGCAAACCAAGCAGCAAGTGATGCGCATCTGACTACCAAGCCTGTACAAGATCTCATACAACTCTTCACCACCGGAGATATCCTTGCTCAGCCACCAGAAGTCCACAACTGCCCGATCATCACCAAGAAAACATCCTCACCAGTACCAATCTCATCAAGTCCGGCCATTGTTCTCATGAACATTCCCTCCAAACCGGACACATCCGCCACCAAAGAAGCCGAAAAGTGGAGCGAGCTGTCGCAAACCGTGATGAAGAGCGTGAGAGGCGTGAACTCGTTCACAGTCGTCGAAGACCGAGAAGCGAAAAGTACACGTGTCGAATGCGTACTGCAGAGTTGGGATTCCTTTGCTGCATACCAAGAGTTCATGGTTGATGGCCGGAGAGATGGGGCGGATTTGGTAAAGATCAGGCCGATTGATGGCTTTACTGGACGTGATAGTTCGAGCAAGTTGTGAGTGAGAAGTCAGAGAATGGCAGTGACCTAAGGACTTGTCACGACTATCCACCCTGCTCATGAGTCCGACTCTTCGTCTGCGTGATCCATATATCAAGCCAAAGATCGTGAACTGGTATTCCCGCCTGACTAGCCCCGCGAGTCAGGTGTCGTTGCCCGTATAAATAATGCCAGTAGTCTCCTAGATCTGCTCTCGTCGTACCATGTATGCCATATCGTCGCGACAGTATGACAGCAAACCATCCGAACGAGCGATAAGGCTAGAGTGGAGTGTTAGTGTGTGGCATTGGATGATAGCTGGACTGGGAAGCTAGTCGTAGAAATCTGATGCAATCCTGGTCAAGGAAGGTGTCTTTGCTGTTGAGATCCAAAAGCCATAATTAGAGCATTCTATGACTTCGTTGTCGCACCAATACGGCGCATGATCATTGCCGTATTGGTGCATGACGATGGCGGTGCAAGCCATATCTCAACGCTTTGAGAGGCTCCATTATGTTCAACCCAGCAATGCAGTCGACGTGGACAGATGTGGCCACGATACATGCGGTACCTCGGAGAGCGTACGACCTCGGGCCAACTGATGTTATGGTTGATAGTTTGGCACACATAGTGCGCCATTCTGGATATAATCCATCCTCTATGTGGGTTTATCTAATGTACGCTTAGTCCCACATGTCTCTTTGTGATGCTGGTAGGTTGGAGGTTGGCAAAACTTTGCGCGATCATGGTTGCGAGTTGGGCCTTGTGGTTACTCTGCTGGTCGATACTTCAACGGCATCTTGCAGTCCTCGGACGGGCCTAGGGAAGGAAACGGAAATAGTGAAAGGATTGGGAATTCGAGCATACCTTGTTCCAACGAAGATCATTCACCGTAAGCGTATCTTCTGCCCCACCGTCGTAAGCTTCGGTGGTAGGATTCAGCTCCAGCGAACCGGGGTCGCGTGCCTCTTCCGCTTCCCCCTGACTTCTCAGGATACACGATTCCCCAAGCTTCATCCGCAGCCAAAGCCCTTTCGGGTTTCCTTCCACTTCTTGAGAGTCACACCATTCGTGGAGTTTGGAGGAGTATCGGGCCCCTTTGAGTCCATGCCACATGTTCGCACTCAGTAGCGTGTCATAGACGATGGAGCGGTCGCAGCCAGCTTCGATAACAGCAAATCGCACTGTGTCCATGTCGGCAGGTCGGCCTAGGCGTCGATTGTGGTTGAACAGCTCTACTGCCTCAAGATTGCGTTCCAGCATGGCATTCTTTCTTGCAGCGACAGCCGCATGCGCAACTTCAGGGTTCGTCCAGTCGACAGTCATCGCTGTAATCCAGAGTAAGAATCGTAAGAACTCGACTTTGTCTTGGGTCCACGAGCCCGTGAATAGCTTCTTCGGTAGGCGTCCCTTCACAAAAGCGAGCCGAGGAAAATGACTTCTAGAGAAAACCATCTGTGTGGCATCTTTGAAGTTGGGCGGCCACTGCGCATCGAAGCAGCCTTCATCTGTCGTCAGGCCACAGAGACATCCTGCAGGTTCAAGTCGTCGCAGAATCCATGACTTGAAGAAATCCCACGTCATCCATCTGCTAGCGAAGATGAAGGTTTGAGCTGCTGTCTGCTCGGCGCGCTTGCCTCGTACCTCAGTGAGGTAGTAGTCGCATGTTGAGTTGTAGATGTATTCGGATGACAGTCGTGCTGCGATGCGATGCGAAGCTTGAATCAGCGCGATGTTATGGTCGGCGGCAATGAAGATGGGTTGAAGAAGCTCGACAGGCAGGCATTCAATCGGGGCGAGATCCATTTTGTGGATGAACAGCAGGATAGGTGAGGTGAAGGTGAGAATGAAGCAGTCGCTGATTCGCAAGCAGCCAAAGACCACGAGATTGCAGTTGGAAACGTGTTCCTGAAAGACGTCGACGCTGCATGGTGAACAACTCGGTGTTGCATTGGTCCGACTAGGCAGCGACCCCCGCATTTGCCCATTGAGGTATGCCGCTAATTACCCCACGCGGTGCTAGCGCGTTCCAGGGTGTCATCCGAGGCTCCTTCCATCGCGACATCATCACCTTCTTTTCGACACCAACCTACAGGAATGGCACACCAACACTGCTCCTCTGAGCTAGGCGGTATAAACTTCGCGACAGCTGGTCTCACTTCACTACGCGCGACCAAGGCGAAGCCGAACTGCATCATTAGAACATTCACCACGATTGCGCGTTCGTGACACTGATGCTAGGTGCGCGTTGGCCCCGGCCTGATGTCACCTGCTCAGAACTCTCGGTGTGTCATCCAGAGTAATGCGCATCTTGAGATGACTCGCGACCGAGCGATGTTCTCCAAAAGTATGCTCTAAAAGCTAGTAACTTCCCTGATTCTACATTCTCTTAGGAGCAGTCGCATTGAAAGAGCTCGAGAGACGCGTCTTTGTTCTTGGCCGACACGATGAGCAATGTCTGCCGATAGCGAATAAGATTAACTCTTTTGAAACCTAGCGACGTTAGGGCGGGGTATTTTTCGGCATTACAGCGGGCGCAGTCATGCATCAGCTTCAACCTGTAAGCTTCAACGCGTCGCTGTCACTTCGCGGAGCTGCGGTATCTCCGTCCGTACCTCGCGCATTCTTGCTACGACAGTACCGCCTACATAAGGTAGAGCTTGAATTAGCTGCCAATACACGGACTCTCCACCATGGCTGATCTCGACCCGAGCATTTTGTTCAACGTGAAGGGGCTAGTCGCTGTAGTCACGGGCGGTGGAACAGGTGGGGATGACATCTTTCTCGAGAGGAGAAGTGCTGATCTATGAAAAGGCATCGGATTGATGATAGCGCAAGCACTCGAGGCGAATGGTGCAATTGTGTACATCCTGGGTCGCCGAGAGGAAGTCTTGAAGCAGGCAGCCAGCACAGCGGTATACTCGTCAGACGACTTTCTAGACTATGCTGACACGTTGTTTTAGAAGCATGGAAACATACACTACTTCAAGACCGATGTGACATCAAAATCCGATCTCTCCGCAGCGGTCGATCATATCGCTGCCAAATCCGGCTACGTCAATCTTGTTGTCGCCAACTCTGGCATTCAAGGTCCAACCCTCAAAGGTCTGGAAAAGGGCGCATCAATCACCGAATTCCGCGATCACCTATGGAACTGGGATATGGACGAGTTCACGCAAACCTTTGCGGTAAACACTACATCGGCTTTCTTCACGGTCGTTGCGTTTCTTGAGCTACTCGACAAAGGCAACAAAGCCGGCAACATTGAGCAGAAAAGTCAGGTTATCTGTATTAGCAGTGCGGGTGCTTTCAACCGCGTACCGATGGCAGGGTATGCGTATGCTGGTTCCAAGTCGGCGGCAGTACATATCATGAAGGCTTTGGCAACGACGTTGGTGCCGTATGATATCCGCTCGAATGTGCTAGCGCCCGGTTGTAAGTCGAATCATTCCATTCCTCATGCATCTTTTACTGACTAACGTCCGACAGTATACCCCAGTGAGATGACCGCGGGCATGCTTAACCAGGAGACGTGGCCAAGAGACTTCATACCCGAGCAGAGAGCTGGCAATGTCAAGGATATGGCGGGCGCAATACTGTTCCTCACGAGTAGAGCCGGAGGTTACGTGAATGGCAATGTCCTGCTTACCGACGGTGGTCGTTTGAGCATCCTGCCTGCGACTTACTGAGTAAGCCCATAATGCTCAGCTTGGACAGAAATTATGTAGTGTGCCCCGCCGTACAAGCTTTGCCAACCGCTAGGACCGGCGCGCAAATGCTTATCTACCCGCGAATGTATGACGTGTTAGTTCGCGATCGTGAATTCCTGGCACGATTCGGTGGGTTTTGCTGGCTTGATCATGCTCTGTGGTGTGAGACGGTGGGTTCTGACGCGTATTTATCCGGTCAGCCACGAAGAGCTTGTGCAAGGCTGCCGATCACTCACTGTCATCGAAGCTAAAGAATATCGAATGCCATTACTATTAACTAACGCCACAACAAATACACTACCGTTAAAGCTCCTTGCTTTTCGTGTGGATAGGATAGGCCCATGGAATGCGGCCTTGTATGCGGTCCTCACCAAAGACGTAATCCAACACCCTACTTTGCTTCATGCGTGGAGCGACAACATATTTCATCAAGAGCCATTGGAAAGCGTAGAGCGGATAGATGAATCTGCCCACAAACCAGTAGATCGGCGTAGCCCAGGCGTGGCTGCGAGTCGCGGCAGCCGAGACGCCAAAGTCGAACGCAGTTGGCTCTTTCCGCGACGACTCGTATTCCCGGAAGATCTGTTGGAGTTCGTCGAAACTAATATCGGGGCCTGCACTTGACTTTGTCGCGTTATGTAGTAGGTTGCAAAGTAACGCGACGTCTTGAATGCCGTTTGTAAATCCGAGGCCTGCATTTGGTGTGAACTTGTGACATGCGTCGCCGGCGAGCACAATACGTCCTAAGCTCCAATGCTCGAGTACGCCCTCGTCCAGATTTGACATGCCTGCAGTCGAGCTATCGTAGATGTCTTTGACCTTCAAGTCGTCGTTGACAGGCCAGTCAGCGAAGCTAGCGGCGAATTCATCCATCTCCTCCTTTATATATCGCTTCGGCTCCTGGGTCGGTTCTGGCAGCTTTTCGTACAGCAACAACCAAGCGCGTTCACGGCCAGTGATCCACATGAGCGATCGATCCTTCCCTTGTGTGTTGTTTCCCAGACCAGCTGCGCATGGCCGCGGTATGTTGGACCACAGACAACGGTAGTGGGCGGAGAATGGCGGTTCCGGGTTGCGGCAGGTAGAGAAGCGGTCTTCTGCTGAGAGCTTGTGCATGATCTTGCGTGTTTGGCTGTGTACTCCGTCGGCTCCAAGGACCATTGATCCGGTGAACGTCGTGCCGTTCGCGCAGGTGACTACGACGCCGGTCTCGGTTGTTGCGATGTCAATGACTTTCTGGCCGACATAGTATTTCTTTCTTGCTTCATCGGGCAGGCCTTCTAAGAGGGCTTGTACGAGCTCGGCGCGATGGAAGGCGATTGGCTCGAGACCGAAGCTGTGCCGAGTTAGTAAAGTTTCAAGACGTATTGGTCAGTTGACAGGAACTTACTTCTCCTTGACGATCTGAACGGATGTACCGTCTGCGAACTTCTTGCCATCCTTAGTGAAGGACTTGTTGTTCAACACTCTTTGACCGATCGAAAGCAGTGTGTCAAGTATACCAAGCTGTTGCATTATTCGCATTGCATGAGCCCCGAGGATGAGACTGGCACCCACATCCACCACGACATCATCTCTGCGTTCCAGGACGACGAAGTCGATGTTGGCTAGGTGTAACGCATGGGCAGCTGTTAGCCCAGTAGGCCCGCCGCCAATCACAATGACTTTGAAGGGTTGGTTTGCCATACTGTGGACTGAGGATGTGAAGTGGTAAACATTCTCCACCCCACAAGCTTTGAGATGTTATATATCTGTACACGCGACATTGGGATCACACTGAGCGCCTGTGGGTCGTGCAATTGCCGATGAAGCCTCGCCATGTAGCACATCGTAGGTAGATCTCGGGAACCGAAGTACACCCGATTGTGTGGATAACTTCCACATGCTCGGCCGAGGAGGGTGAGCAGCAGTTACAAAGGACTCACATCTTCGTCAGGGATGTGAGGTTGAGACCCAGAGATTCGGTTGCGGAAATCGTGTAATACTGATGGAACTCTTTAGAAGGGCGCGCGTGAGCCAAAGACGTGTGCGATCGGGTGCTTGGTGATGCTGTGTATTGCGAAACTTCATGGTCGCATGCGGGTGGCAACAGGGACGCCAAAAAGACCGACGCGCATGATGTTGATGCTCAGGGCATGAGTTCTGGAGGTTTACTGCAAATAGTGAGAGAAAGAAGGAACTGTCGCGTAAGCATGTGAACGCCTGATCTTGTGAGTCAGGCCTCTGCGACCCGGTGACGACGCATCTTTTGCATGCTTTGAGATCGTGAGTGTAAAGTAGACACTGCGTTCAGGTTTGCATGAGGCGAAAGGGCACAAAGGTGTTGTTCGACGTTCTTCCTATGTGTGTGATCGTGCTGATGTGGACACCGATAGAAGATCGGAGACCCGCTGCCGATGCCTGGCGCCATCATTAGCGTGCCAAGCTTCGATCGTCATCTCAACCTTGTCGGGATCTCACCTGGGCAATCTCCGCACCGCCGTCCTTCTACGCATCCCCAGGACAACAGCGCCAACTCCTCATTCGAGCAAAGAATCCTGAAAGACCCAACGGCTACGTTGACGTTGGAATACCCACTTCGCATGTTTTCATCTCAATGTAGGCAGCAGACCCGTTCGGCCTTTTCCTTTCAGATACCCTCCTTTAGCCACCTCGTCGTCAACTCAAGACATACCCTAGCATCAAGCCAGGGTGCGGTCGCGAGTTCCCTCTGAAAGGATCCAAGGGCCCTTTCCGCTATGTCAAACCGGAATTTCAAATTTGATACGCGAAGTACCGCAGCGCCGTTTGCGTCCTTGTAAAACTCTGCAGTCTCCATATCATCGAGGGCGCTATTGTGGGCGATAGTTGCTACCGAACGTAGATCCTCTCCGCTTATCACCAGGCTTAGAAACAAGCCCTGCGCCACGACGTCTCTCCACAAATACGCTGTGTCCAAGTACGGGACGAAGTAGCCGATGTTGACTTGAGGATGCTGCTGGCAGTATTCGGCCAGCTCCAACATGACATTTTTGGGCTCAAGCGTTTGGCTAAGCCCCGGCATCTGTCTATGAGTGCTTGTCCAGAGGCTAATGTCGCGGAAATATCCCCGTTTATTCGCCGCGCAGTTCCGGATGAAAGTCAGGAAAAGTTGTCCAGGTCCGAATTTATCACTCCAGTGGGTAACAAAGTGCACTCGATTGACTTGGAGTTCCAGCCCCGCGGTCTCTTTGTACAACTGGCGACAGGTCAATTTCAGCTGATTGAGATGTTTTCTGCAATTTGAGCGGGAGACTCCGTAGGGGATGAAGCGTGGGATGTTGTGGCCGTCAAATCCGTCGTCGCTAGACACACCCTCATAGGACCTCACACCGCTGTCGAACTTCAAACCGAAGTAGTCGGTCTGAAGTGCGTACTCGTATATGCGGTTGCGCAGCTCGCCAGGCAGTCGGAGCAGAGGGGATGTGCTGTCGGCGATGGTAGGACCTGCTGGGTCACACTGGTGCGCATTGTTTGGCGATGTTGAATGCATCTTTGAGCTTTTCGATCTGTCAGCAATTGCGAAATAGAAACGGGCTCTACGAGTGACTGACCTGGACGTGGTCTTGGAGCTTGATGAGAACCTGGTACGCTTCTCGCGGTACCAGCGACGCAGACGATGTCGAAGACCTCCCTTCATGTCGGCGGAAGGAACGATGCTCTGGAGTCGAATACCCGGTGCGCGCGGATGTAGTTGTTTGGCAAAGTCTCTGCGCGGGCTGGGGAGCGCAGGTTCTCGCCGTATGTGGTCTTTCTCACCTTCACTCTGTGCACGATCCACGTCACGCCAGCTCGCTTAGCGTGCTATCAGCGTCACAGTCTTCCTCGTGGCCACCGCCAGTACTGCATCCGACGACTGACTGCAGCCCCGTACCGAAAACTTCGCTCGCTGCGACTGACCATCGCACCTGGTGCTGCCAGCTATGCAAGCCCTCGAGCATGCGCCCGCGCACATGCCTTCGAATGCGGAGTTGTTGAGATCAGGCAGACCCAGTAACCGCACTGCGACACCCTATCGAGCGCCATGCGAGTGCTCTATTTGCCAGACCCAGTATCGCAACTTCGACTGTCAGTCCATTGACGAGTATGCCTACGTCGGGAAGCGCAACAATAATGACGCGCAAGCCCTGCTCACTTCGTACATGAAGCAGATCACGCAAAACCAAGACTTCATTCGGGCCACACTGCAGCAATATTGCGATGCACTACTTGATTGGTGGCGAACACGACGTCCCAGCGGTAGAAAGGCCTTCCTGGAGCAGGTAGTACCGCAGCTGCCGAAGACGAAAGAGACACAGGTCGACTATCAGGGCAAGCGGCATACCCCGGAATACAATGACTTCTCCGACCTTGAAAAGTTATCGGAGCTTAAGCAAGCTGATAGAAAGATCAACCGCCATGCATTCCTACTACCCTATCTCAACATAGATACACTCGCGAAAGAATCGTTTACGCTACTCGCCCTCTTGCATACCAGGGCCAATGCACGACTAGAAGACTGGGCCGCTTTTGACAATGACCAGTTGATAGTCAACTGGAAGTGTCCATTCTACGATGTTGAGTTCAATCCAGGGTGCGTTGTTCTCTATGGAGCAGACTATGGGGAGCTCAAGAAGTGGAACAAAGAATTAGTACACAGGGGCGATCACCTCGGCTTTCCACGTGCGCAGGTCCTCCTAGAAGCACAGGCGACGCTGATGGCGACATTGAGACGCATCTTGGAAAACGCAATCGAACGCATTCCTCAAAGCCCTTTCACTGTCCGTGACTCGTTCGTCGAGTTTGTGTCCGCAGGTCGTCTATCGAGCCAGAGTAGCACCGCATGGTCTAGCTACGTTCATCAACCGACTTCAGACCCTCCAAGACTCGATCTTCACGCCCAGATCTCCGACGTGCAAACTCGTATCGAGGACATAGGTGATCAGCTCTGGCTCCTCCAGACAGAACCAGTCTATCTTCGCCGGTATCTACGTGTGATTGGCCAGACGTCCGCTACCCACGCGTTCAAGAGCTCCGATTGGCCTACTGAACTTCTTCTTCTGGAGATCAAAGCTCTGTTGGAGTCATACTGGTTCTGGCAAGGCGTTCTTGTCGAGCTAGAACATACGAAGGGCATCTACGATAGCTTTCGGGATGAGATTAGACCAGGCTCTGCGCTGCCGACCCGCGTAGAAACCGCACTCGGGGCGCTGGAAGCCTTGTTGGAACAAGGCATTGATGTACGCGGAAGACAGCTTCGTTGTCTCGTTCAGGATCGTCCCGCCTTTTCCGGAATGTACAATGGTGTCAGCGACGAAGCCACCAAGTCGCGTTTCTCTGAACTCAGGGAAGTATCCGGTAAGCCCGAGCCAGCTACCGAACACAAGACCCATCGTCTTTGGTGGTGCTTGGGCAATCTGCTCGGCACGTACGATACGATCGGCCGCCTACCATACCCACTACTCTTTGGGATCCTCGATGACCACCTCGGCGCTGCTGGCGCAGGCGAGCGTAAGAAGATGGATGAGATATTGTACGAGCGGTTCTCTGATTTCGCCACAATGATAAAGCTCTTTGAGGCACTTCGCTTGCATCGTCCTACCTACGCGAGGCGTGACTCAGAGATCTGCAAGACCACGGAAGACCGCCTCGGATGGAGACGTGTTCGCTTAGCCAAGTATAGCCTTTGGTCAGATCGCAGCGTCTTACGTACTCTGAAGGCTCTCCAGAACACGAAGCCCCCAGCGGGTGGTAAAGGTGCCAAGTGGCTACAGGCATTTGATGCTGATCATGCTGCGCTCCAAGCGTTCTGGCGATCATTACTTGTTGACCACCGAAACTGGCATGGGCGCCGTAGCTTCAACATTGAAGACACTACATACTATCTCAAAGCGTTGCAGTTCTGGGAGAGTGAGGACTACCGCAAGCAGCTTGAAGTCAAGCGTCAGTCTGTTCTCTCGGCTATCGAGAAGCGCGTCGACGTAGGCGATGCTATTGCCTTCCTTCCCCTACCTACCTCGACGATCGCCATCCCTGCATCTTCCACTCAGAACATCAAAGAAAAGATCAAGACACGGGGCATAACGCATGCCAATGACGAGCTGCCAGAAGCAAAGGATGAGACCGCCACGAACAAACAGCCACAGCAAATCACGGTACCGAAGCGTGCGCTCTCCATGTTCCGTAGCATGTTTCCCGACACTTTACAAGAGCGCTCTGCCGAGATCGCCTGGGATGCGTTTGTGCTCAGTATGACTGACGCTGGCTTCTCTTCTCGCAACGGTGGTGGCTCGATTGTGATCTTCGAGGAGAAAGCCGGCCCTGGTAAAATCATCTTTCATCGCCCGCATCCGTCGCCGAAGATCGATCCCATCATGTTCCAGGGTATGGGTCGGCGTATGAACAAGCACTTTGGCTGGAGCAGGGAGACATTTGCTCTGGTCGCCAAGGCTGGCAAGGCGGGAGGATAGGTGGGTTGGAGTGAGGGATACCGGGTTTGAGGAGTATGGCTTTGCAAGTAGGATGGACAAGACATGGCAATCGGTTGTACTGGATTTGGAAATGTGTAAGACTTCCTGGATAGCCATCTGGTCGCTACCCCGCTTCCGCGCACTAATTGACGCCGATAGACGCCTCTGCAACATACTGAATCCCCTACATGCGCCTACGTAACATGTACCTTTGACGTATCATGAACGGTTGAGGAATCTGTGTACTCGCAATCTTATCAACGTCGCTCGAAATGATTGCGCATACCTCCAGGCTACAACGTGACAGAGACCAAGTCATCATTTCTTGTACTCCCTGTTTTGGAGCTGCAGTTTTTCAAAAAGCGAGAGGAGAGCAGGACACGTAACCGGAACTCGACAGATTTTGAGAAAAGGAAGCAGCGCACATGAACTGTTGCATTCTCTTTTGAGGTACCACGAAGGCGACGTGTAATTAACAAGAGAGAAGCAGAAGATGTTAAGCTTTATATAGACGTCCAGGTGCTCCAAAGTCAAGCCCTGATAGTTCTCTTCTCATGATACTCAATCGTCAAGCACTTTGGTGAGATATGACAATCCACGCTGACGAACAACGTCATGCGCATGAATTTGGGCGGATTTTGGAAACGAGGAAGTGCCGCAGTCATCAGATTCCCCGCTATCAATTTAGAGAGGTGATGTCGTCTGAAAGAAGTAGGAGATCGAATCTTTGGAGAAGCAGTCCACATGTAGTGACGGAAGCTAGGTTTTTGAAATGTGCCGCATTCTTCGAGGTGGAGACGTGAAGAGCCGGAGAACAGGAAGCATGACATCTTGCACACTGTGTTTTGGAAAGAGGCAGGGAGAAGCCCACATACCAGCTTCCGGTCGCATTTTCGAAGAAAGAAAAAGTGGAGTGGAAAGAAGAAGAGGAGGTACGGCGAAAAAAGGTGCCTTTTATATCGCAACGACGGACTAGACCCGCATCGGCGTAGCAACTGGACTACCAGCAGACAGCATGAGGCGCTTGGTATGATTTTAAAGACAGAAGCTTCTACTCCACAATCATGCCTTGGTCGTCATGATCTTTGGACAGATCAACCACATGTCTGTTTTGAGTGAGGGCTTATGAACCGTCGAAGCTGTTGTGCGTCGAGGAAAGCGGAAGAGATCAGTCATATTTTCGATCTTGCGAACAACTCGCGGCACATGCGAGGGTACTTCCGTGCTTTTCAGTTCATACACCACAAGAAACCAGCTTTGAATATGTCGCGCCCGATAGAGGAGCGACGAACATAGTACCTTTGTCTGTATTTTCGAATGCGGAACACTAATGGAGGCGCTGACCATGAAATGGAAGACAATGGATTTTGTAATAGCACCGTGGATTCGATGAAGAAAGGAAGGAAGGAGTCGGAAGGTGGCTTATATACACCGGAACGGCTTAGTGTCGGCTTCAAGCCCGAGCATGTGTCGTGAAGGAGAGAAAGCTACAAAGTCGGAAGACTTTAAACGTCCGGATGCTCGTTCCAAAATAGGCCCAGGCAGATACATGGGTCGCAAAACGAGCCAAGAGCCCGGAGACATGGTGTTGTAGGCGGGAGGCTTTAGTTTACGTGTCACTTGGGCGTCGTTTTATACATCTTCTCAGTGCTAAAGATCAGATGACTGACGTATATAACCTCACCATGAACAGATCCACACATGCCACTACGCTTCGATAACCTCCTTTAGTGTCTTTGCACTCCCCTCCAACTTCCCCTTCTCCTCCTTATCCAACGGCATCTGCACCGCCCTCACCACGCCCTTCCTTCCCAGCACAACCGGCATACTCAAACAAACCCCCAGATCTTCCTGGAACGTACTAACCGGCCTAACCATCTTCTCATCGAAAATGATGGATTTGCATATCGACGCCGCGACACCGCCGATACCGTAATTCGTCGCGCCCTTATTCTCGATGATGGAAGTAGCTTTGTTCTTTGTTTCTTCCGCGATGGCGCCCTTGTCCAGCGCGCCTGATTGCTTTGACGACAACGCAGAGGACAACGGGACGCCGCCGATGGAAGCTAGACTCCAGGCAACGAATTGGGATTCGCCGTGTTCACCCAGGACGTACGCTTCGATGCTGGACGCTGCGACTTCCGCTTTGGACGCAAGAATGCCGCGGAGACGGGCTGAGTCGAGGAAAGTGCCTGAACCGATGACCTGGGATTTGGGTAGACCAGAGTATTGTTGTGCGAAGTAGGTGAGTACGTCAACAGGGTTTGCGACGAGTAGCAAGACGGTATCCTCGCGGAACGGCTTCATGTCTGAGATTGCGGATTCAAGAATGGACTTGTTGCGGCCGATTAGATCGGTCCTGCTCTCACCCTTCTTCTGCTTCGCACCAGCAGCGATGACGACAATATCGCACTGTCCGGCTTCCTTATGCGTGCCGGCTCTTATCCTGGTGCTAGTGTTGCCGTGAAAGGTGGCATCTGATAAGTCCGCCACTTGAGCGTCCCTGACTTCTTCTTTGGGGTCGACGAGCAGGATGTCGCCAGCAACGGGGTTCATGATGAGGCTGTAGGCGATTGTGGCGCCGACATCGCCGGCACCAAGGATGGCGATGGAGGAGGTGTTTTTGGGGTCTGACATGTTGGGCAGTGGGGTGTGAGATAGTGGTAAGTTCGGTTGGAATAGAGGGGCAGAGGGTGGTGTTGATAGTTGACTGGGATACTTGGTGGGTTCAGAGTTCTTTCTTCTTCTGTAATCTGGTAGTACAAGATATTGAAGTACGTCATCGTGATGGCGCTAGTGCGGATTCAGTCCGTAGAGAGCCGGCCTATCGATACGCTGGTGAGGAAGTCGCGATTGTGGATTACCTGAACATGACCAGCCTCAGCTCCTCATCAAAGCCCCCATTCTCTCATACCCCAGTACTATCATCCTCCCGTGTTGCCCATGTCTATCCTCTCACACCCACTCCACGTCGTCGTCCCGTCTCGTGCGACGCGTCGTGCTCCGAGGTGGACGTGGAGGCTGTTTCTTGGCTGTCTTGACTGGCTGGAAGGGCTTAGTATAGTTTCTTCAATGAATCAAGCCCTGTAAAGCAAAAGCATCGCAAAATCCAAGTGCTCAAGCTACCTTGGGTGCGGGTGCTGCAGCTGGTGCAACCACTTTCTTCCTCGGCTGTGTAGCTAAGCCCTTCTTCAGTAGTAGAGGTATGACGTCCGTCGCTTTATTCCGGCTGATGGTCTTTCGGCAGACAGGACACTGTGAGCGCTTCGTTTCGTGGGGCCCGGTGCGGTTCTCGCCGGCGATGAGCGCTTCCATGAGGCAGGTGTGGCAGAAGAGGTGGCCTGAACAATTAGTAAAACACTTGAGATGGTAGAGATTGTACTCACCACATGCAGTGGCCGTAAGATCTGTAGGATTGTCCATGCAAATGACGCAGTTGAACGAGTTGAAGGTGGTGACCGTCTCCTCTGGCTTGGCCTGCGCCTTGACAGCATCCTCCCGTTGCTTCTGCAGAGCTTCTTGCAGCGGCGTTTTCTGCTCTGTCAAGTCGAGCTCTTCAATCTTCTCGGGCTCGGCGCTCTGCTGCTTGACTTCGGCAGCTGATCCATCGTCCCGCTTCTGGCGTTTTGCTGAGGGACCCGGGGTGGGCGACTGCGGCTTCCTCCTCCGCGGCGGTGACTCGGGGGCGCTTGTGAGGTCGACGTAGCCATTTGCGAGACGGTCAGGCCGTGAGCCCTGTGGCCGTGCGCGTGTGGAGGGCGGCATGTCTCCGGTGAATGGGCTGTAGGGGCGCCAAGCGAAGGGTGAATAGCGTCCGTGGTCGAGGCCGGCTGGATTGAGGATGTGGTCGAAGAAGCCGGTGGAGTAGGGCACGGGCGGGGCGCGGTAGACGTCTTCGAAGTGGCTGTCGTCGGCGGGGGCGCTGTAGTGGCCGAAGAGCTCGCCAAAGTCAAAGGCTTCGGGGGAGTAGTGGTTGTGGTGGTGGCTATCGGGGGTGTCCAAGTTGGCGTCGTCGAGTGGGTGGGTTATGTCATCGTCGTCCCTGTGAGAGCGGTCGGCCGACATGGTGGCGAGCGCAGGCCGAGAGGGCGGGCAGGTCAGAAAGGGCAACGTGCTCCTTCACCATTTGAGTAGCTGCTGGTCTGGGCATGGTGTCGCAGTCCCGGGGGCTTGGTGACGCAAAAGCAGCGGCCGCTCTTGGGCTCGGGCGTGCTATATCATGCATCGCGTAGGGCTGAGGGGAACTGCACCGCGCCAAGAGTCTGCGGGTGAACTAGACAATGAACATGACGACACCGAATTGCAACCTCAACTACGACAATCCAAACCTCCGGCGCCATGCAGTGACTTCCGTCTACCAGTCTGACGATGCGCTGCTCATGTCGCTCCCTTGCCGCCCACTCCGCCCGACCGCGACCCGTCCACGCGCAATTACATTTCGCCAACGCCTCCAAACGATGTCTCGCCACGATCCAATCCACACAGTCGCCCACACAGTCGCCGGATGCAGACGGTAGCCATGCAAGGGGCAGTCTGAGTGGTGCGACAGCCAATGCATCTTTGTCAGTCCCCTCGGAAGCTCGCTTCAGTCCCATCGGCGTTCAGCATCTTTCCTCGCACATCCACTCGCAGGTCTTCCCCGGCGCAAGCACCCAACCACCACCCGAACTCGTCGCACTATCGCAGGACCACCTCAGCCGCCATGACTTGCTCGGCAAGAACCAGGACCAGACCCCGCCGGTTGGGTTCGACCTGCCGGAACTGCAAGGGACCAGCCTCGACGAGCACTTCTACAAGCTGGGGATGGACACAGCGGAACCTTACCTGAGCATGGCGAAGAAACTAGCATGGGCAAATCCTCCACCGAAGCCAACCAAATGGGTGCGACGGAGCGGCTGGACCAAGTACAACAGCGACGGCACGACGGAAGCTGTGGATGCGCCCGACGAGACGATGCTCACGTTCGACACCGAAGTCATGTGGAAAGTAACGTCCTTCGCCTGTATGGCATGTGCAGCAAGTCCTACCGCTTGGTATGCTTGGTTATCGCCGTGGCTACTGGGCGAGACCAAGTCAGATCGCCACCTCATCCCACTGGGCGACACCTCAGTCCCCCGCGTCGTCGTCGGACATAATATTGGATACGACAGGGCTAGGATAGCGGAAGAGTACAATATTGCGCAATCGAAAAACGCCTTCGTCGATACCATGTCCTTGCATGTAGCCTCCAACGGCATGTGCTCGCGCCAACGCCCGTCGTGGATGAAGAACAGGAAGGATCAGGAGAAGCAGGACAAGGCAGCCACAGATGAGGAGAATGCAGGTCTCTCCACGGTCTTGGCTCCTGCAACTGAGGAGGAGCTGTGGATGGGAAGAAGCGCAATCAACTCACTACGGGACGTGGCCAAGTTCCATTGCAACATCACACTCGACAAGGCGCAGAGGGAGTACTTTGGAGAGAAAGACCGTGCGAGTGTCAAGGATATGCTGGAAGACCTACTCTCTTACTGTGCTGCTGATGTAGAAATCACGCATCGTGTATATCAAAAGGTCTTTCCGCTGTTCCTCGAAACATGTCCGCATCCTGTTAGTTTTGCCGCATTGCGATTTCTGGCTGCCGAGATTCTACCTGTCAACGAGACGTGGGATGCGTATATCAACAACGCCGAAGCGACATATAAGCAGCTGGACGATGCTGTGAAGGAGCGGTTGGTGGCGTTGACGGAGAAGGCGCTAGAGGTCAAGGATCAGCCTGAGGTGTATGAGAATGACCCATGGCTGAGTCAGTTGGACTGGTCAGGGCAGGAGGTCAAGATGGTCAAAGGGAAGAAGAAGGGCGATCCGCCGAGACCAGCAGCCCGCCAGAAGAAGCCCGGTATGCCAAAGTGGTACAAGGATTTGTTTGCGAAGAACGACGCCCCGATGGCTCTCACCGTGCGAACACGCATCACGCCGATTCTGCTGAAGCTGGCTTGGGATGGGAATCCTTTGGTGTGGTCGGACATACACGGATGGACGTACAAGGTCCCAGCGGATGAGGCCTTTGCGTACGATGACAAGGGGTTGAAGGTCTTGGACATGTCCGAGGAAGAGAATCTGAAGCTGAGGGATGACCGCGAGTATGTCTACTACAAGATTCCGCACAAGGATGGACCGCTCGCAAGATGTGCCAACCCCCTCGCCAAGGGCTATTTGCAGTACTTCGAGAAGGGGAAGCTGGGATCGGAGTATGCATATGCCAAGGAAGCACTGGAGATGAACGCATCTTGTTCGTACTGGATCAGCGCGAGGGAGAGAATCACGAATCAGATGGTCGTTTACAACAAGGAGGTACCTAATCCGCCGAAACTTGTATCTGCATCTGGCAAGGGCGCGGGGAAGAAGGTCGGCTTCATCCTCCCACAGATCATACCCATGGGCACCGTTACTCGGAGATCTGTCGAAAATACATGGCTCACAGCTAGTAACGCGAAGAAGAACCGTGTTGGATCAGAGCTAAAGTCAATGGTGCGAGCACCGCAAGGATACTGCTTTGTTGGAGCAGATGTCGACTCGCAGGAGCTGTGGATTGCTAGTTTGATTGGTGATGCGACGTTCAAACTCCACGGTGGTAATGCCGTCGGATTCATGACGCTGGAGGGTACCAAGGCAGCCGGGACCGACCTGCATTCTCGCACAGCCGCTATTCTCGGTATCTCCCGGAATGACGCCAAAGTCTTCAACTACGGACGTATCTACGGTGCAGGACTGAAGTTTGCGTCTACCCTTCTCCGCCAATTCAACCCTTCATTGTCAGACGAGCAGACCTCCAAAACGGCAGACGACCTTTACAAAAACACCAAAGGAAAGAAGACGAACCGGAAACAACTCCACGAACGAGCCTTCTGGCGCGGCGGCACCGAGTCCTTTGTGTTTAACAAGTTGGAAGACTTTGCTGAACAGGAACGGCCGCGCACACCCGTCCTCGGCGCTGCCATCACCGAAGCACTGCAACGGCGGTACTTGTCAAAAGGCGGCTTCATGACAAGTCGAATTAACTGGGCAATTCAATCTTCCGGCGTCGACTACCTCCACCTTCTCATCGTATCCATGGACTACCTAACCCGCCGATACGGCCTCGATGCCCGCCTTGCCATTACCGTCCACGATGAGATTCGGTACCTCGTCAAAGAAGAAGACAAATATAAAGCGGCAATGGCGCTTCAGGTTGCCAACGTCTGGACGCGCGCAATGTTTAGCCAGCAAATGGGTATCAACGAACTTCCCCAATCATGCGCCTACTTCTCCGCCGTCGACATTGACCACGTCTTGCGAAAAGAGGTAGACATGGACTGCATCACGCCCAGTAACAAGGAGAAGATTCCGCATGGTGAGAGTCTGGATATCATGGCGCTGCTGGAGAAAGGCGAAGAAGCCCGACTTGATCCCAAGTATGTTCCAAGCGAAGCCGACATGCCGACGCCGGAGAAATACACCCACGCTTTTACCCCGCGGACGCCTATCATGACGACGCTGTCGAGGGGAGACGCAGTCGACGACCCAACAGCCATGGCGTATCTCAAAGCGCAAATCTCCTCCTCCGATCAAGAGCTCCGCGATATCCTCCGTCCCCTTCGCGCAACACCCGCACCGCGCAG